CAGCTACATATATGAGCTCATAGGAATTGCAAAAGCATGCACAAAACTTGTGCAAGTCCAAGCCAGACCAAATTCCAGCACTGAGAGGGTACACAATCTCACCACTAACTGTAGAGCTATTAGTAACTGTTACTGGCTGGGAGAGGGAGGAACAGTTCTTTCTGAAGAGGTAGCTCCTAATAAGTCAACTGTGCTCCAGGGGAAGGCAACACACCCAAGAGTATTTGGACAACACAAATTAGTCTTGAAGGGGTAAAAGAAGATACAAAGCTGGAGGAGGAGTCTGGGAAGAGTTGGTGAGGGAGGATGGAAAGAAGGAAGAGGAATTAGAATAAAAAACTTCAGAGAGCATCTGATCTAAGGATTCCATTTACAGGTAAAAGAAATAAGCCTAGAGATGAGTGTGACTCTAAGTCAGTGGTTCTCAACCTTCCTAATGCTGCGACCCTTTAATACAGGTCCTCATGTTTGGTGGCCCCCCAAACATAAAACTATTCTCATTGCTACTTCATAACTGTAATTTTCTTACTGTTATGAATCATAATATAAATATCTGTATTTTCTGATGGTCTTACGTGACCCCAGTGAAACAGTCATTGGACATCTGAAAAGGTTGCATCCCACAGGTTGAGAATACTACTTTAAACAGTAACCATTTTGGAACCAATACTTGAGCCCCAAAATGTTCTAGTTAATCAAATCCAAAAACATATGCCAAGTGTGATAAATTTTCAGCAGTTAACAATTTGCCACACATTTATCTGATTAACAAAAAGAAAAAGCATTGAGTACTATCTAGTAGATGTTACTTAGACTTTGCCCACAAGAAATTCACTAGCAAGAGTATAACAAAAACCAACCAAAAAAGTAGTAATTACAATGAAAGCTGAGGTTGCCTCTGAAAGAGAGAGATGTGAGGAGCCAGACTAACCCAAGACTTTCTTAGAGGCCCTGAGGAAATGACAAAAGAAGCTTTAGTTCCGTGTCCTTGTCCAGGAGTGGACGTGGCAAGGCTGGTCTAGGGGGGAGATCTAATGCCTTGAAAGAGTCAAGATTGCAGTTCTGGGGACCTCTTTCCCCTGGGCTGTGGTTACCAATCCTTAGGCAGGTATGTCTGAGATAGCCCGTGTTCTGTTTGCCAACGCTGTCTGAGTTAGCTCTCTGCTGACCTTAGCCATCTTCCCTCTGCAAACAGTGTATACGATGCTATAACTACTGCTATTACTACGACCACCACCACTTCCTCTTCTTCCTTCTTTGTTTTTTGGTTTTCTTGAGACAGGGTTTCTCTGTATAACCTTGGCTGTCCTGGAACTCACTCTGTAGACCAGGTTGGCCCAGAACTCAGAGATCCACCTGCCTCTGCCTCCCAAGTGCTGGGATTCAAGGTGTGCGCCACCACCACCTGGCCAATGCTGTATTTCTTAATAAACTTGGTCAGCATAAGTCATCAACTTATAAGGACCTCCTGGCTCCAGTGATTGCTCTTATTTTATTTCTCATATTATTTTTTTTCTCATCTCTGGGCCTCTCACTCAACTCTTTGAAGCTCGGGACCCTTAGTCCTGCTGGTTTGGGTCAAGTGTACTCAACTCGGAGCTTGAATTCATGGGCCTGAGATGATCATGCTCTACTAACTGAGCTATTCAGGCATCTGTCATTTTGGTTGTTGAGCCTAGCCTTTATAATGGCTGAGCCATCTCTCCAGCCCTAGACCAGCTTTGTCAAGCCCACTCCTAGAGAAGAACACAGGACTAAAGCTCTCGCTGTCCTTTCATCAGGGCCCCTGAGAAAGTCTTTAGTCAGTCTGGCTCCCCACAGAAAAGCAAGCTACCTGTATAGTATCTTTGGTTCTTTAAATGAACATTATTCACTCATACGTTCACTTTATAGAGAGTAAACAGACAGACAGACTGATGAGAGATTTGAATGGGAGGGCAAATAGAAAAAGCAAATGTTATCTTTGGACCTGATTGGTAAGTAAAAGCACTTGCTGCAAAGCCTGCCTTGAGGTCAGATGGCTATGGAGGCCACAGGAGGCACAGGGTTCCATGGAGTTGGAGTTACATACATCTGCCAACCACCCATGTAGATGCTGGGAACCAAACTCCAGTCCTCTGGAAGAGCAAGTGCTCCTCCTAACCTCTGAACCACCTCTCCAGCCCCTAGAGATTAAATTTAATAGATTGAGTGCCCTTAATTACTTCTAGTTATGCTAAAGGCACACATTTCTTCAGTGAACATTGAACACACAAATCATGTGAGGCCAAGAATGATGTACAAACTGACAGTATGTGAGAGTGGTGGAAATGCTGTCTTTGCATGCATTATCCACTATGGTTTTGAACAGCTTGCTGAACTGTGAGCTGCTGCTGTGGAACAGCGTATCAAACACACCATCAATGTCAGTAAACTACTTATTTGTATTTATCTGGAATTCTAGACGTAACGGCCACCTGCACCATTTTACCTTAGAAGACTGCACAGTAACCACAAATTGTACATCTTGTTAGAGTCAACACAAAGGAACAATGCTGCTCAGTGAAGCATCCCCTATGCACACTCTTTTCCTGATTGATCCTGCTTTGCTCTGAGCACTAAACTCACGTAAGTTGAACTATATATACTCCTGGTATTCTTCACTATCTTTTCTTCGTGACTATATTCTCAAGAATGTATTTGCTTGTTTTGCATGAGCAGCTCTTATCTTGCATCCTGTTTGCATTCTACATTTTTTAAGCATAGGACTTTATACTTCTCTTCACATTACAACTAGTACACACTGGATTCTCAGAATGTTGTTACCTAATGATTCCTGAGAGGACTTATGCACTGATTATAATTCTAGAAACATCTGCAGAAAAATAGACCTGTAGAGAGTAAACAAAGAACTTTTATTCCCAATTTTGACAATGCAATGCCCACTTAGTTAAATTATAGTATGTTTTAGTTGTCAAAAATTTTATTCATGTGCAATATTTTGTATTGATTGCTTGAAAGGCACGATTGCTGTTATTACTTTGAAAGGCACTTTGTGTTTCAAGTTCTACAAATACCATTTAAGGAAGGCATTTTTCCATTTTATTGATAAGAAGTTTAAATTGAAAAAAATGTAAGCTATTTAAGATCACTTAACAAATAAATTGCAAATGGGCCATGACACCAAACACAAACTGAAAAAGAAACTGCATTATATATTATATATCATATATATTATACATATATAGATTATATATAGACACACACAATTAAAAAGTAACTAAATATTTAAAAATATAGTCTCCAGACTTTGTGTCCCTCTAAGTTTTCTCTCCTTCTTCCATAGTAATTTTATTGATTATTTGAGAATTTTAAATCATGAACCCTAAGCAATTCTCTTCCTGATCCACCCCCTACCCTTATGACCTCTCCCATATCACACACACCCCAAAAAATAAATACAAAAACAAAAAACTGAATCCAATTCGTGTTGCCCATATACTCTCTGGGGCATGGTCAAACCCCTGGTGGACAGTCCCTTAAAAAATTGAGTCCTCCCCCTTCCGCACCCCCGAGACCTCTGCAAGAAGGCATCAGTGTGGACAGGTACCCATCAGCATCCTTGTGAGAATTTTTAAGAGTTCTCTTCCGTGCCTTTCTGTCTAAGCTGTTACCTTTTGGCAGGGGTTGGAGAGGTGGGGGTGGGTCGTGAGGGTAGGGGTTGCCACTGAAGCCTTCTGTGTCCCTCTTTCTCAACTGTGAGTCACAGTCATCAATACCATGACAAAAATAGCTTCCTTGCTCTTTACAGTCAGCAGGAGCATGGATCATGGACTTACATATGGTTTCTGGAGATAGACATCCATATGGTCTCCACAGTCAGCACATGCCATGGTCTTCAGCACAGACTCCAGTGGCAGTACAGACCACCAACATCAACACGGCCCATGCCACAGTAGGGCCACGGACCCAGACATAACCCTCGGCAGCAGCACAGACCCAGACAACACCAAGGCCTCGGGTAGTAGCACAGGCCACTCAGATCAGAATGGGCACCGCCAACAGCACAGACCCAGACATCAGCATAGCCTCAGATACAGACCCAGACGAAGGACATTTGTCTGGCCTTTGGTGGTACCTTGGGCCAGGGACATCAACATAGCTCCCGGCTGCTATACGACCACAGGCATCCACATGAAACCTCGGGCAGCACACCAGCAATACCAAGGTGGCCTCTAGGGGCAGCATGGCCCAATGAGGTCTTTCAAGAAGGTCCAATACAGAAAATAACCTGTTCATCGTGGTCACCCTGCTCTTGCTCAGAATGAGGATAACAGTCTGGCTGGGCGGCACATTCCAGAACTGAGTGGGGGTGCAAGCTCCAGGCTGTTGCACACCACCCTACCTGGCGACAGCAATGACATCTACCACTTGCTTCTCTCATGCCATTCGTGGGAGTGGTGTCTCTAGTTCAGCCTTTCTCTACCATTCACTCACCCCTTTGCTCCGCTATCTTTTCCACCTTTCTCACCAAATACTCATTTGTAGTAGTGGCATTGGAAACTGCAGTATGTCACTTATCATTATCATCATCACCACCCAAGCAACTTTGCATGCGAATATTCATTGCAATGAGTCCTTGGTCTGGTTCAAGTCTTTTGGTGTCTGAGGTACTATAAATTATGAATACTGGACCACTGTCAAGACTCATTTCAGCTTTTATACTGTTGCCAGAGTCAGGGTGATCTGCAGCACCAGCCCATTCACATGCTCCAGCAGCTTAGAGATGGGGCAGATGCTGGGGGAGACCAACTCAAAGCCCTGGACCGAATGGCAGCCGAGCTGGTCAGCCTGTAGCAGTCCCTGGAGCCTGGCCTGGCAAAACTGCATAAACATTCTTACTATTTATATTATACCAAGAAAAAAAAAAAAAAAACAAATGTTGAAAATAAGGTATATAACAGAGAATACATACAACAAAATGGGCTTTCTTTACCTTTAAATAATTCTACACCAAAACATTTTGCCGAGATGAAATAATTTTTAATCTCTAGATACAAGATCCTCAAAATGGCTGAGAGGACTGAGTGCATGCTTCACGTGAGTGAGGCCCTGACGTCAGTCCTCATTTCTCCTCTGCTTCCTCACCAAAAATATATTCAGGATACACTGCAAGTTTCATTTTTTGATACATTGAAATAGAGACCTTACAGTTATTTCAATGCTTGGGTATTCCAGAATAAAACGTGGGGACACAAGTATGTGGTGACTGCTGTGTATTCTAAGAGGACAAAGACTCTTTCAAACATGAACAGAAACTAGCCTTTCTGCAATACTAACCCTAAGGTCTATTCTCCTTTATAGACTACAACGTTGTTGTCAGTTTCATACACTTTTACTTTATAAAGAGCTCCCACTGGAAGAAGTTTCTGGAGCTTTTCCCAGATATAGACAGCTACATTTTCTGTCGTGCTGAAAAAAAAAAAAAAAAAAGAATTAAAGAAGTTCAAAATACAAATAATGAACAAAATTTCAAGTTTAATACATAAGAAAACAGAGGAATTCCAATAACAAAATCTACCATGACAGCAGTATTTTAGAAATCTCACGATAATCACAATGTTAATTTGTCTCGTTTCTACTGCCCAAGGCAGGACAGTGGCACCTACCTGACAACATCTGCAAAGTGTGGCACATCCAGATCCAGGTTCTTATGATCAAGGGGCTTCATGATGGCCTCCTGCAGACAAACAAAAGGGAACCACTGACCTCATTTAGAACTCAAACCCCAAAGTGTTCCTTCCCCCATAGTCTCTGCGTCTCCCCTCTCGATTGGCCAAGACTTGACACTGGGAAGCATTCCTTCCAGGTTCTACAGAGCAGATTGTGAAACAAGGTCAGACCTAGTTTCCTGTATTGACCATGTGTCCTGGTTTCTGAATGCAGAAGGAACCACAAAAACAGGTTCCTGGAACTTTCTAGAAACACAGCCATCATGAGTCACAGCTCAGTTCAGCACTTCTTGAATTCTGTTCACAAAGTTAGCAGAAACACTCTTCCACAGCACAGTCACCTACAGAACAGTGCCACTAAGACCTGGTGGCCGTGTCACTGAGACCTGGTCTGAAAGGATGGACGTTTTCTACATTTCTGCCCTGAACAATAATTTAACAATGATCTTCTGTCTTAGAAGAAAAAAAAATGCAGAGAATATCACTTTAATATAAATATTTAATACAAATATTAAAATAATGTTTCTTTTTGTCATTAGCAAAGACTGTAATTGATTCTTTCCAATCTTTACCATTAGCTCTCTTACAAAAATTTAAGCATTGTGGAACAAACTAATTTTCCACCTGGTTTGATTTCAAGAAGGTACACTAATTATTTCTCCAGTAAAACTAGAATCATATAAAAAGAATGAGTCCTAAATCAACTAATTTTTAAAAATAAATCAAATGAAGAGATGTGAATACCAAGAAAATAACTATCTTTGCTCTATCTTGGATCCCGGTTCTGACCCCAACTCCTCTATCAAAGTTTCTACAGGGCTCTAACTTTACTCTGTGGCCACAAGAAGCCACCTTTACTGGTGAGTGTGTTTAATAGCTTAGGCACCCAAAGGAAGAAGAAAATCTCAAAAGCTTCCTAAGTATTTAATCCTTCGATTGCTGAGGTTCCTCACTGTCATCTTACAGTGCACAGTACTGTGTGTGCAGGTTCTGTGGCCCCTCTTCTAAAGTTCTCTAAATTAATAAGTATGGAGCGATTCTTTCTTTCTTTCTTTCTTTCTTTCTTTCTTTCTTTCTTTCTTTCTTTCATTTGTTTATTCAAAAATTTATGACTACTTACTATTCTTCACCTCCTAGTAAAGATAATGTATACATTCTAGGGGCTATGTCTTGTTCATTCATTTTCATATTTCCAATAATTAGCTTTTAAAATGATACAAAGAAACAAATTTGTTGAATATATGAACAGTATGAGAAAGTAATCATTAGTAACATTTTTTAACAAAACATCTGTCAACCCTGAGAACAAAAGCAAGCAGAAATGAAGCACTAAACAAGCAGGTTCAAATGGTGGGACAACGGGAACAGCCAGAGGAAATACAAATTCCCAACTCTGTGAACAAGGAAGACCACAGAGCCTGGGGCAACGCGGCAATGGCACTAACTACCCAGCATCCCTCGTTTAAATCCATGGGATGAAGAAACTGGTAGAGATACTCTCTAAAATATCTTACAACACAAGAATTTTACAATGATGCAATCAAGAAACTTTTTAATGAATACACTCTGATGCATTATCTCTATCATGAATTGCCTCAAAAACTTAGCATAAAGCCACAGTTGTTAAATAAGTATAGTACAGGGGCTGCAGAGATGGCTCGAGATTAAGTGGCTAAGAGCACTTGATGCTCTTTCAGAGGACCCAAGCTGGGTTCCGAGCACCCACATGGGATGGTTCACAGCCACCTGTGACTCCAGCTCCCAGTGAGGCTCCCAAGGCTCCCAGCTTCTACAATCACCTGTGCTGGTATATTTATGAGGTTATGATTCATTCATTCATCTTTGTATTTTAAAAAAACTGACTCATATAATTAAAAATAAATATTTTTTAAAAAAGGAAAGTGATATTTTAAAATTTTTATTAATGGTACAATATTCAAAGAATGAGCAAAAGCTTCAAAGAAAAAGCTGTGTTGTAAAAGAACGGGAGGATCTTATAAATAGAAAAAAAAATGAGTCTCTTCTGAAGAAAAGTAGGGATGGTCATATGACATTTCTTCCCATCATTACAACACAACTTTGACTACTTTCTATTAAGAAGACCACAGAAGACCAATAAAGCAGTCGCTACAAATACTCTCCCACTCCCCCACCTACCCCAACTCACAATGTCATGGTATCTCATGAGATACAGTGAACAGGGGGTACTAAAAGTTATGCTGAGGGCATATCACACAATAAGCACCTGATGTGGTATTACCTCCATATATTCCTTGAGGTCGGTCAAATTCATAACCATCCCTGTAACAGGATCAATCTAAGGAAAAAACAAGGGTGAGTATCATTCTAGTAGGCTCTCTATAGGTACGCTTTCACAAAGCTGGTGGGGTGGCTCATGCCTGTAATCCCAGCACTGTGACACAGAATCAAGAGGATCTGGAGTTCAAAGCCTTTCTTGACTACACAGGAAGTTCAAGTGCAGCCTAGGCTACATGAAAGCCTGTCTCAAAAGTAAAATCCACTTGGCAGTTTTTAAAGGCTGCACAACAAGCAGGCTCTGCCACGCTCCCTCACCCTCGGGATACTTATTAGTCTCCGTGCAGAAGTGCCATGTACTTCCAGCACCCTGCTCGCTGGATGGCTCTTCTCCCCACCCACACAAAGGTCACAGAGGGGCCTTGCATGGCAGCAGCTCACCACACAAAAAAGGCCAACAGTGAAGCAACTGAAACATAAGCTTTCAACATAGGTTTCACCAGTGTCTGGAAGATGGCCCCACAACCTGAACAAATCCACATACCGTTTCCAACACGTACCTCTCCGTGCACTGTCACCACAACTACGAGAAAGAAAACAAAACACCAACAAAAACGCATGACTTTCCACAGATTAGCACATACACACAAGTTAGCAAATTGTCAGCTCTCTGACCCCCAAGGCTATACTCCAATTTTTCTCCAAGTATCTATTCTTTTAGTTAAAATCATTTTATCATTCAATGCAAGACTCAACCCTGACAGAGGCACTTGGAAGCAGCTTTGGCTCAGCAAATTAGCCAAATCCAAAAAGGTGTTAAAAACTTCTGTTTATTAGGTTCACACAGCCCTGGAAGGAGGGGCCTGGAGAAGTGGAACATGCACATGCATGTCCAGCCTTGCACCAAACCCACCCATTCGCCAGCAGGCGAAAATACTCATCTTTTACTTTCAAGAATGTGTACTCAGCTAATACAGCAGGTGTTCGCATGAAGCACTTGAAGTAAATAAATGACATATACAAGTTGTATTTTTTCCATTCCACAGAAATATCACTGGATATTGCACAGTGAGCAAGTACACTGAGGTTTAGAAGTATATAGAGAAGACAAAGGCCAGAGACTGAGCCTGAAATCCTGATCTTGAGAGGCTTCTGTAGCCCTTATCCTATCTCACCACACACTACTACACTCTAGGGCTTATAGAGTGTGTGTTATGGCATCAGGTGTCTCTCAAAGAATCAAGTCCTTTTTTCTCCCATGTTGGAGGTTGATGTGTGTTACTGGCCCTCAAGATCTGGATACACCTATCCTTGTTGAGTAAACCTGCCTAAGACATACCTGATTGGTTGAGTAAATGGTATATGCCTGGGCAGGGCAGAATGGGGTAGGGCTAAGGTTCCTGGGCTTTTGAGGACCAGGAATCACGGGAGACAGACAGATGGAAAGAGAGGAGGAAGGAGGCCGCCACAATGTGTTAGCTGGGTTAGCATGGAGAAATAACCACATGGGTCAAGAGAAAAAGACTCCAATAATGGTGTGAAAAGCCCCAGATAAAGAATACAAGCAAGTACCGTAGGATTATGGATGGAAGGTTGACCAGATGAGAAGGATCAAGGTGGATGGCACTGGATGGGGGCTGGGAGATGGATAGTGAAGATACTGAGACAGTGTAAGTGAAAAATCTGCCCAGGCCAAGGTATATAAGGCAATTATAAAATCTAACAGGCATCTGTGTATTATTATTTGTGATAGCAGATCAAATAATACCACTGTGATAATCTTAGGGCTAATAACAGACATTATATAGCCCAATATTCATTTTTTTAAATTTACAACTACTCCCACAAATTATTTTAGAACACTTAGAACACTACCAACAAAGTTTTATATACAAACTGCTTTTCTGCCACAATACATGCCTAAGCTATACACCTCTTCCATTGGCCATTACTCAAAATAGTAAATTTTTTATATTGCTATGACATTTTTTAAAATTTTCATTTTAACAAATACACAAAAAATATAAAAAGTCTACATCTAAAAGGGGACTATTTGATGTTTCAATTCATATATACATAGTATGATATTTAAATCAGGTTAAACATATCTGTCTCCACAAACATAGATTATAATCAAATTTTAACATTAGTTTCAGCCCAAAATAATTAAAAGGAAACAGCTAACAGCAGTTTTATTATGCATTCAACTGTCAAAGAAAATGCTTTATATCATTTTTTGTTGTTGTTTTCTACTATCTTTAACAGAGTAGACAACTGTGAGGGAAGAAACAACACTTATCCAGGGCTCAGAGCCCTGACACTGTCCACGAGGCTTCTCACCTACGACCCCTGCACTTACACACTCTTCATTCCTACTAACAGGTTAGGAGTAACTGTGTTCTCCCCTCACCTTTATAGTTGTGTCCATGGCCATTCGGATTGTTACATTTCCCAAACACTTTCAAGTTCTCTTCATCACTCAGAGATGGGCTGACAAAATCAAAACAGAAAAAGTCCGTGTAAGCCAGGCACAGTGACATTCACCTGTCATCTCAGCACTGGGGGAGGTAGAGGCAGGTGGATCTCTGTGAGTTCAAGGACAGTTTGGTCTACAAATTGAGTCCAGGGCAGTCAAGGCTACACAGAGAAACCCTGTTTTGGAAAAAAAAAAAAAAAAAAAAAAAAGGCAAAAAAAGAAAGAAAGTCTATGTGACACAATTAAGACATCCAAATTCCTGTTTTGCTCTGGGTTTTGAAAACTCTACAATTTAATTTTACTTTAGACAATCAACTGGATGGATCATTTGGATTTCATCATCCGCATGTCCATCAAGAACCAATGTATGCTCCCTAACGAAACTACAGTATCACATAAACTATCAAAAATCTTAATTTCAACCCACTTATTCCACAGCAAGATTCCAAGAAAATCTGCTCACAGTCAGCTCTTCTCTCCTGCCCTCTCTCTCCTTTGTCAAGGTCTCCTATATCTTGTGCTGGCCTCAAAGTTAATATGTAGCTTAGCATGACTCTGAACTTCTGATCCTCCTGCCCCCACCTCAGGAGTGCTGCAATCTGTTACCACACACTGACTTATGTAGGGCTGGGGCTAGAGCCCAGGACACAATTCATGCTAGTCAAGCTCTCTACCTACTGAACTACACCACCACCACCATCACCCCACCCCGACAGCACCTTTCAATCCAACAAGCACTGAGTATTCGCTATGGGACAAGAGCAGAAGGAAGCAAGGAACAATGAAAAGCACAAAGAGAGGCCCATCCCCCGGCAGCTTAACCTTCCTTTCTCCTGAAACATAACAGCCTGGGGCTCTTTTAACTAACTTGCTCTTCTATTGCCAAGTGGAAACTTTACCAATACCTTCTGGGACACTCAAATTACATGATGGCACATTAAAATTACTACACATAGATGTGGTTCCAGATAGAAAACAATTAACGTAATGAATCTGTGTATCTATACCAACTCAGTCAACTTCTTATCTTGTGCATACTAACCTTGTGTTTGAGCTTCCTATTATAAAAGTCTCTTTGAGGGGTTGGAAGGATGGCCTAGCAGTTAAGAGTCCTTACTGCTATTACAGAAGACCAGGGGCCGCTCAGAACTGCCTGTAACTTCACTTTCAAGGAATCTGATGCCCTCTTTTGGCTTCCACAGGCTCTTTCATGTAAGCTGTGCACATAACACACAGACAATTTTTTAAATTTAAATTCTTCAAGATCTTTCTTATTCCCTTTACTTTCCTCCTACTGCTCACACTTAGAGCGCTACAGTTCTCAAGGCTTTTGCAGAAAATTCACTTTATGAAAGTTGGCCACATTTTAAACGCCATACGGTGTGGGGGGTGGGGGCGGTGACAACTGTGTGCTGTTCCCTGCAATAACCTAGTATGGGACAAAGCCTTGTCCAGTAAGGAGTGGATGGATGCTGTTAGAAACAACTGTTCTCAGACAACAAAACGTAGGTTCAGAGAGTAGACGAAGCTCCCTTCAAAACCGACTCTCAGGTGGGGTCTTGTGTGTCTCAGATCTAATTTCCGACCTTTGGAAAGCATCAAGGCTGAGGTTATCTTCTGCCAAAAAGGGCTGAACGCTACCTTGTGCTGCACCCGGTAGCGCATGCTCCTGTCACGGTGCCTTCAGGATGCGCTGGGTACTGTACCTTGCGGGCAGCCTCCGGAAGGGACCTCTCCAGAGCTGGCCCTCCGGAGGAGAGCTCTACCGCCCTCTCCCGGAGGAGGCGGAGCGCTACTCCGCACTTTCAGTTCCTCTTCCGCCCGCCCCAGGTCGGCTCTAACTCCAGCGCGTGGCCACGCCCCGGGGAACGTAGCGGGACAAGCCCCGCGCGTGCGGCGACACACGTGGGCACACCCCACCTGTGCAGCCGGTGGCTCGCGCTGAAGGACACGAGGCGGGACAGTCGCGCACGGCGACGAAGGCCGCCCGCCGCGCTCATGGTCTTCAGGCCAGCGACCCGCGACAGACAAGCCCTTGCGGCTTCCGGGGCCGAGGCCAGCCCCGCTCCTCGCGCCTGCGCAGTGCAAGCTCGGCCTCCCTGCCGGAAGCGCTCCTGGGGGTGGTTTCGGCTCTTGACGCCCCTCCACCCGCCTGGAGGCAGGAATTAGCGCCTCCTGCTGTTCAGTCTTTGCTAGGCAGTCAGAAATACCTTGGGCCAGTGAGGAGCCAGAGGCCTGGATTTTTAAATTGCCCACAATAGTTTGTGTCTTGCCCTTTCCCCATTTTTGACAGCCCTGGGTAACAATAGGCCAATGTAATGGCTGGGTAGCCTAATCAGATGCTCTCCAGCCCAGTACCATGTTGAGAGTGTCCTTAACCAAAGGAAACCCTAGCCAAGGATGGCAGTGTGCTTTCATTAGAGTTACTATGGAGGCTAGGGTGGAGAAGGTTGATTTTAGGAGTTCCGGTCTATTCTAGGCAACATACTACAAAACACAAGCTCAAGTGGAAAATAGAAAAACTTTGACGATGCCATATGCAGGTGAGAGAATGTCATGCAAAGTCCTCCTCAAACCAGAGGCAGCCTGAAAACAGATTCACCGTTCAGAACCCTTAGAAGGAACAAGCCAATCCTGGTTTTAGATTGCTGGCTTTGAGCGTTTTGAAACTGAAAAGCGTTCCAGTAATCCCTACTGCCCTTGTGCAATATTTGTGGGCTCTGCCTTTTGGATCTTTTGTCTCAGAAAGTCTATTAAATGCTGTCTGAGAGTCAGATATAGCACATTATGTAATCCCCAGCACTGAGGCTGCAGCAGGAGAGTGGTGAGAAGGTCTATATCAAAAGAATAAAACCCAATAATTCAGATGGACATCTTTGGCAAGGCAGCCCCTCAGCCATCGCCCATCCAAGTAAATTAAAATATTAGTTAAAGTGTTTACCTAAGTAGCTTTGGCTGTCCTGGAACTCAGGCTGTAGACCAGGCTGGCCTCAAACTGACAGAGATTTTGGCTGCCTCTGCCACTTCGCCTCCCAAGTTCGGGGATTAAAGGCACACCAGGCTAAGATCTTAATAATGACACTTTAAGGATTAGACACATGTACCTCAGAACGACAAAATGGCCCCTGCCATCTGCAAGTTCAGTTTAATGGAGCAGTCAAACAAGTAATATGACAAGTGAAAAACTGCTAATTCTGCATCAGAGAGTAAAAGAAAACAAATTATTCTGAGATGGATTTTAAGGAGTCCAACAGATGTGTAAACAGGAAATTCCAGTAGGAAAAAAAATGAAGTGTGGCTTGCTTGATGCATAGTGACAAATCCATGGTTACTTTGGGTTGTGAGAGAGAGAGTGTATTGGAAATATTGACTGGAGACGGATTAATTGAAGAATTGTGAATGTCTTTTTACATATAAAGGAAAAAAGAGGCCCCACGTTTTTCTTTTCATCTAGTTTCTATCTAAGAGAAAGGTGTTTCCAACTGCTTGAATAATATTTCCAGGCATAACTGAGTTTTGCTTGCTAGGGTAGCTGTGGCTTATTATCTGGAGTTATGCACACAGGAAAACAAGATAGAAAGATTGAATGAATAGAAGGAAGGAAAGAAGGAAGAAAGGAAGGAAGGAAGGAAGGAAGGAGGAAGAAGTCAAAGTAGAACCCCACACACATACCTCATCAGTCCTGACCATCTTACATTCACCTCTGTAGCTTGCTTCCTTGTGGCAAGCTGAGCCAGGAGCAGGCCCTCTCATTTTTGTTTGCCTCTCTTTTATACACTGACCATCACTCTTGGATTGGGATGAAGTAAAAGTTTGTGTGCAGAAGAAAGATGCAGTGAGATATGTGTGCTTTCCAGAAGGCAGACACCCCACAAACCTCCATTTCAAGACAGGTTATATCAAACCTCCATGTTTTATCTGTGGAAATATATGGAATGCTTTTTCCCCCATAGACTTCTGTGAACACCAGGAGACTTACCTTCTCAAGGTTCGTGGCTTCTGTGCACCCACTTCTGCTGCCTTAGCTCTGTCTATACATCATGTTCAGCCTCTCACAAAACTGCACATGGGACTTAGCCCTATAGGTTACTGTCATGGTGCAAATATCCACACAAGGCGTTTATGTATAAGGTACACTTCACTAAAGAGGAAAGGGTTAGTGGGGTTTGGAATAACCCCTACAGAATGTAAGAAACTGACATTCCAGGACCCTGCGGAGAATATAACTGTAGGTTAACCAGTGTCCCAAATCACATCTTGAAGAACTTCTTCAGGAACAGTGAAAAGGCAGGAGGACCCTGGGTAGTTTAGCTGGCCCAAGATTAAAGCACAGCCAAGAGGTAATGGGAAGGAAAGAAAACAAGGCATTTTGGGGGCCTGCGGTTTACTTGAATGCTGTTAAATAAAAACTAAGGACTTAGAAATGTGAAAATTACATGGTCTCTACTGCCGCCTGCTGCCCAACTGAAAAAAGAACCTCTTCACTTTCAACAATCCCTGGAAAATCATGTCTGGGGATTTGAATAAATGCCTGCTTTTAGCAATGTCCCTCAGAATAACCACTCCTGAAGACTGAGCTGAGGGAGAGATGGAGAAGGAAGTGGGTGATCTGTCAGAGGAAAACTAACATGAATTGACATAGCACCTGCTGCAGACATCAGAGAAACACCCCGTTCAGAGTACACCAAACATGATAGCAGCCCTGGCTTATTGTCCCAAACACCTTAGTGTTAAGGGTGGCTGACGGACTGTGACCTGTTACAGGCTTGGAGAGAGCAAGGTGCTTCTCTAGATTCCAAGTTAGTGGTTCTCAACATGTGTGTCTCCACCCATTGGAGGTCAAACGACCCTTTCACAGGGTTGCCTGGGACCATCAGAAAACACGGATATTTATGATTCGTAACAGTAGCAAATTTACAGTTATAAAGGAGCAACAAAAATAACTTCATGGTTGGGGGTCAGCACAACCTGAGGAACTGTATTAAAGGATCACAGCACTGGGAAGGTTGAGAACCGCTGTTCTAAGTCTATCACTGTCCTTGGCCGTTTGTATTTCTTTCCCCCAGGGCCTTTGATCACCTGTGGCAGTGGAAATGACCTACTTTTAGCCTTTTTGTGTGTGTTCTTTTTTCAAAAATTGTGCATACCGGGTGGGGTGGTAACACAAGTGCCACAGCACATGCAGAGGAGCAAAAGATAACTTTATGGAGTCAGTTATCTTCCTCCATCTTTATGTGGGTCCTGGAACCAAACTCATGACATCAGGCTTGCGCTGCAAGCACCTTTACCTGCTGAGGCCTTTTTTGTGTATTCTTTTAGCTAGAGAAAAGCATAATCAATGAATGTTCAACTACCTTCAAAATATCCTCCAGGGCTTTCAAGATTGCTCAGTCAGTAAACATACTTGTTGCACAACCCTGATAGCCTGAGTTTGATCCACAACCCACAAAGGCCAGATGCAATGCCTTGTATCTATAATCTCAGCACTCCAATGTGGAGATGGTAAATAGAGAATTTTGAATTGCCCAGAAGTTCGGAAGGAGAAAACCTACTGTAGAAAGTTGTCCTCTGACTTCCCAAGCACCCCATGTCTGCATATATATGCACATTGTCCATAGGTACACAGTAATAATGAATAATAAAAGAAACTTTAAATATTTTAAACTTCCATTTATTTGTTTGTTTAGAAGACAGGAGCTCACTACCTAGACCGGGCTGACCTTGAACTCATGGAGAGCTGCCTGCCTCTGCCTTAGAAGTGCTGGGATTAAAGGTGTGAGCCACCACACCTGGTTCAGTAAAAATTTTACATATTATACCAATGCTTGCTTGGTAGTTGCAAGCAAGAGCCCTGAGGCAATATAAAACCAGGGCTGAAGAGATCACACAGCAGTTGAGGGCATGCATACTGCTTTTGCAGAGGACCTGAGTTTGATTCCCAGCACTATATCGATCTCCATGGGTACCTGTACTCACACACACTTGCCCACACATACAGTCACACAGAAAACACATACAAAATTTTAATTATATGAAGGGGCTGGAGATGAGGCTCAGTGATTAATAGCGCTTGTTTCTCTTACAGAGGTCCTGGGTTCAGTTCCCAGCACCTACACAGTGGTAGGTAGAACCATCTGTAACTCCAGTTCCAGGGGATCTGATGCTCCATTCTCACCTCCTCGGGCACCAGACATACATGTGGTACACATACATACATGCACGTATAACATTCATACACATAAACTAAATCTTTTAATTGTAACTCAAAACATATATGTTCATAATTACCTCAAAATTATGTTTTAATAGAAGTGAAAAGCCATACATCCAGGGTTTATTATCATTATTAGTTATTTTACCACTGCTACAAAACCAAGCCAAACCTCAACAGACAGAACAATTTAAGGAGGAAATGTTTTCTTGGCCCACAGTTTCAGGAGATTCAGCCTGCCCTAGCAGGTTGGCATGGTGGTGCACCCCATCAGTGACATGGGGTGAAGGCCATTCACAGTGAAGTGGACCAGGAAGCAGAGAGAGAACCTGGGCCTTCCAAGGCTGGTCCCTGGTGTCTGGGAGGCCTCACCCACTAAGGTTTCCACAGCCTCCCAAAATAGTGCCCCCAGCTGGGAACAAGCATTCAAAATATGAGTCCTTGGTGGTCAGGGTGGGGTCCAAACCACAATAGGTTTGGGGTGAGACCCACCATTTTCTCTCTTCTGTGCTCCCCTTGGAACCTGATCCCAGACCCTGTGGTTATGGCATCAGATGGGGACAAATGTGCCGTGGAACCCATAAGGCATCCGCACAGGTACTTCCGCTCGCCCCAGTTCTGCAAAGTTCTTGGCATCCAAGACAAGGAGAAAGTTACTTTCACTCTAGAAAAGGAAAACAACAGTGAGAGTCACTCTTCATCTGAGAATCCATCTCCACTGGCCAAGGAAGAAAGCGTGTCGTACTCATGTTCATATCTGTTCCTGGCACCTACTGCAAAGCCTCACCTAGCCACCCACTAAATGTATATTTGCTGCACTGGATGGAAACAGCAAGACTGAAGAAGTTCATACCCTAACGCAAAGAAATAAAGCTGTTCATGCCAATCCTCCTCGTAAGATGGCTTTGAGTCCAACAATATCTTTAGTTGGCTCTTTCCAGTCTTGTAAAGCACATAGGAATTCTTTCTCCCAAATTAGGAGCTGTACAAAGATCAGCATTGTAAGTCAGACTGAGATTTGTGTGGAGCTAGTTGTTAGAGTGCTGAGTGTCTGAAATAAGCTCCTAGCAGACATTACTAATTGATCACAGCACTATGGCATTTCTTTTCTTTTTTTTTTTTTTTTTTTTAAACTAAACCATTAAAAGGCGCAGCACCCCACACACAGGTGCCACTAATAATTGATCAAAGCTGGTCTTGCTGTAAGATTGCCCAGACAAGTCAATAAGTAGTATTATTGAGACAATTGCCAGAGCTCATGATACTGGACATTTTTAGGTCGGTTCACAGATGAGTGTATGAGCATCAGGCCAGAAGCCAGATGATTTGAACACTGGCTTTACCACTGTGAGATCAGACACAAGTCACCTGCGACTTCTTGAAAGTGACAAATTCCACATGAGTGAAATGCTATCCCATAGTTTTTAATAAATATCATAATATCTAAGAAAGTGCATCATATATAACAAGTACCTAAGGAAACATCATGTTGTTATGACTTTGCACATAGAACTTTAAAATGTGATAAAGTGTGGTCTGTGATTTGTTACAATGGGGAATGTTACACAGTAAAAAGGGGAAGAGGACAGAGAAGGTGCCATAAGGCATCAAAATAAATTATAAGCTTCAGCATTACAAATCACACTCCAACAAATTAGTGCTGCCCTTCTCTGACCAGTGACAGGTAAAGAAACTTACCTGGTTGGGGGTGATCACCACAGAGAGTATAACCCCACTATCTTCCTCATCAGCTCCTGGCACCGGAACAAAAATGGGCTCTGAGGGATAAAAGCCATCTTCTCTCCAAACCTGTGAGTTCCCCAGTACACACACAAAAGACATCTGATGAAAGGGGAGGGGTAGCTGGGAGGCATTCTAGAGCATTTGTCGCCCATGGCGTAAATGAGGCTGTCAACAGAATGCTCCAACCGTGAACACAAGCCCTGGCTTACTGCATTGAATACAGGCAGAAGAAACCTCTACTGTCTCTAGCTCACCGTCTAAAACATTTTCCCATCAACCTGAAATATAGGGGTCACTACAACCTTCGCCCTGCAGTTTCTCCAAAGATGACATCAATTTACCATTATTTCCCCAAGCTTTGGCTTTCCTTTAGATTTCCTTTGTTTAGGAGATCCATGACTCTCAAACTTAGGAAAACAGCTAAGCCATTGTAATATTAAAGAATCCAGAGACCTGGACTGCAGAGACGGCTCGGAGACAGCTCAGCAATAAGAACACTGGCTGGTCTTACAGAGGGCCTGTGTGTGATTCCCAACAGCCATGCAGCAGCTCACAATTTCCTGTAACCCCAGCTCCACGGGATCCAATGCCCTCTTCTGACCTCCAGAGCTCCTACATACATGTGATGCATAGAATACACTGAGCTTGCATGCATACACAAGACAGATATTCAAAATTTTTTGAGAAAGGTAATACATCTGAAAACTACCTTAAACAAAGCAGAAATTAATTCAAAGGGTAAAACAGGTCTTTGAAAAGACAAGAGATTTTCCTTACCGTCAGTGTCTTGTTCACCACGTCCACCTTAATCAGAGAGTCCCCCACCAAATGCCGAAAACCACAGCCGTAGAAGAAATTATACTTTTTGCCATTGACTCGGCCATAGTTGATCTGAGGAAATTCAATCCCTCCTTCCTCTTCCAGGTCCTGGTGGTGTAGATTTTCAGGAGAGCACCAGATCTAAGAGAGATCCCCCAAGGGTGTAAAGTGGCCGCTTCATTCTCTTTATCATCTTCTCTTAATTCTCTTTCCTTTTTTTAGTGCACAGGTACTCTACTCCGCAAGTTGTGACAGGAGTTGAGAACTAAAGTTTTGCGTCATCTAGCACACTATTCCCCTTTTCCTAGTGAGTGTCCATGCAGATGATGTGGTCAGGTGTTGTGACTAAGATGTCACGTGGCACAGGAGGTGGGGTGCTTCCTTATTCTGCTAAAAGTAAGGCATGTGTAGCTGAATTTCAGTAAAATCCCCATGGGAAAAGCAGTGTCATTGAAAGATGAGGCAGACGGGGTCAGTCTGAAAATCTCACACATTCTGCAACCACTGGCAAGTTGCATAGATCCGGCTCAAGACACAGAAAGTGTAGCTAAACACCATGTCCACCCCGCCTCCAGTTTCTGTGACTCTTGTGCAAACAAGTTTCCATGACCTCACCCAAGCTCAGCCAACGGTTACGAAACCTGCAGGGCACCAAACATTTGGAGAGCGGCCAAAGAGTAAAGTAATGTCACCAAATCCTCGGCCCAATGTCGGCCGGGAGCTTACCTCCCCATCACCCTGTTTCACGGCACTGGCTGAAGAATAGGACAGTGGGCTGAGGTTCTCTCCCTCAGGGGTATCCACACTGACATCTAAGGGCAAGACAAATCTTCGGGGGAAAGATTTTGCCATTGACTTATAGACCTGTTCAAAACAGAGAAATCAACAGATGGGGGGGGTGGAGAAGTCATCTCTAGGATAATTAACTAGTAACTTAAATTCAATCATTACTAGACTTGTACAAATAATTCCAATTCATTCATTTAATAAATATTTATTGAGTACCTACTGTACTAAATATTGCTTAGATGCTGAACATAAAATTTAGATTCTAGGGGTGGAATAGTAACTATAAAATTAAGAATTTATTAATTAGCATCAACTAAGCAAGTGATTAGTAGTCAACGGCCCCAAGGACTAGACAGTACCAAGAGAAGCCCCCTTTTCATGTTTGCTGATTCAGGAAAGGGCCAGCTTAGCAGCCTAGGGTTTGCTCAAACCCCACAGATTCTTGAGCAAGACCAACTTCCCAGACTGGCTCCTGGAAACTGAGTTCTTCTTAGACTGCTGTATCTGATAAGATGTGTGAGATCTTGAACGACACCGTGTAGCAATAAAGAGTTCATGACAACGCTGTGGTTTAAAAAGAGCACCTGGAGGCTAAAGATGTAGCTCAAAGGTACAGTGCCTGCCTAGAATGTAGAAGACCTAGGGCTTAATCTTCAGTGAAAGAGGAAAAACATTAATATCTAGGGGTCAAGAACTTCAGGACCTGCAGTTGGCTGTGTAGGCCTGAATGCCTATGTGCATGATCCCAGTAAGACACTGAACAGCCGTGTTGTGAACTTCCCAGGAATCTAACAGCTCACACATGGTGTCATGACTCCTTCTTTACATGTGTCCTGTGTAAGCATACTAGCAGAGACTTGCTGCAAGCTTGAGGCTGGCTTCATCCAGAACCTTCTTGGTTGTTTGGTTGTTTGGGTTCACTTTGCTGTTAAACTAAGCCTTGTGGGTCTTCCTTGTAAACTCTGATGCTTCGGGTGATCCCAGGAACTTCGAAATGGTCTGAATGCTAAGATGGTATTTCAGCAGAAGATGTAAAGAGAACATGCACGGTTCATGCAACCGCATGCTTTAAGTATGCTTTTGACCCTATGTCACTTCCGTCTCGCACAGAAATGTTTTCACTGGGGAAAACACAATGCTGTTCTTTATTTCAATTTTTCTGAAATTCCCAGAGGATTAGCGCTTTAAAATTTATCAACATTGTTTCCTTTTGTAAAACCTTAGCTAAACAAAAAGATATTTAAGGTTGGGTCTGGTGATGGGACTCAATTATTCTTTTGAGAAGAACTACAGAAAGAAAAATCTGGATAAAAATGCTTAAAATAGGTGTTTGGTGGCAATTATGAGCTAGAGAGGCCACAGAAGACAATGAGGCTGAGATTTAGGAGGGAAAGGAAACCCACAAATGAGTCAGGTGTTAGAGGCAACTCTTCCCCTGGGCAAGAAGCACAAAAACATTAGTCACTGAGAAACGTAAATCAAAACCACAAACACCATGCCACACCCAGTGGGATGGTTATTATTTTTAATAAAAACATTACTGAGGCTAGGTCAGTGGTTCAGTGGGCAAAGGCACTTGCTCTGCCAGGGTTTGTACTACCAGAGTCCATATAAAGCCAGGGTTAGAAGTTTGCATGGCACAAACATCTATTATGCCCCAGCATCTACTGGGAAATGAGGGGCAGAGACAGGCGGGTTCCCAGAAACTGTGGCTTTTCTACCAGGTAGCTAGGATTACAGGCCTGTACCATCAGGCCTACCTTAAACCTTTTTCTTTTGAGACAGAGTCTCACTACGTATCCTCAGCTGCCCTGGAACCCACTATATGAACAGACTGGCCCAGAACCCATAGAGACCCAGCAGTCTCTGCCTGCCAAGTGCTGAAATTAAAGGCATCAGTAGCCATATCTAGTTTAAACAGTTTTTTGTTTAAAAGAAGGAATCAGTGTACTTCATTACACTAATAAAATAAGGGATAAAAGCCATGGGATACTCTCAATAGTGAGGGGAAAATATGAAATGCTACATCTATCCATTATAAAAAATTCTTAGTAATATAGAAATAAAAAGAGAAGTCTTCTAATCTAACAAAATATACATTTAAAAAAAATCTAAGGCTGAATGTATTTGCATATGGCTGTAATCTAAGAACTTGGAAGACAAGGGCAATAGGGCCAGAGTTCGAGGGCAGTCTTGGCTATACAATGATTCCAAGGCTAACCTGTGCTTCGTGAGGCTTTGTCTCAAAAAGACATCTACTGATAATTTATGTTCACATGCAATCAGTGCACAACAACTTTGTCATATTCACCAAAACTGTAAGCTACCAAAATGTTCTTAAAATAGTTGAATGGATAGTCAGTTAGTTTAACCACACAAGACACTGTTGTTCAATAATAATAATAATAATAATAACAATAATAAAACTATCAAGACTCAATAAGACATGGAGGAACCATAATTGCATACTACTTAAAATAAAAGGAAAAGAGGGAGAAAGCCTGAACTGAGCATGGTGGGGCACAGCTATAATCATTCAAGAGGGCAAGGAAGGAAGATGCTGCATGTTCAAGGCCAGCCTGGACTACAGACTTTGTGAAACAGACAGACCATAGAGACAGCAGATCATTTAATACAATGGGTGAGCCTGTGGTAATAATGGATCATCAGATGTGGCAGATGTTTCACAACAATGCAAGATGTTAATGTTGGGCTGGTGAGATGATGATGGGGCAAAAACAGTTTGCTGCACAAGCCCAACAGCCTGAGTTCAGTTTCCAGCTCATGCACACACACCATACATATACATACATACAATAACAATAAATAAAAACATTTAAAATAGTAATGTTGAGGAAAGTAGGGAAAAGAAATACATGGGGAAACGCTCCATGCTTTCTGCTTGGTTTTTTGTTGTTGTTGTTGTTGTTGTTATTTAAACCTAAACTTATATTGCTCTACACAGACCATTAATTAACACAGAACAAGCAACAGAATTAAAAATCATCATTAACACCTGGCATGGTGCCGCTCCCCTGTAATCCCAGCACTCAGAAGGCAGAGGAGGTCAAATGTTTACCTGATCAAGCCCTTCCCCAGCTTTCCTGAGATTCTGTAGCTGGTAAACTTCTAGGCTGCTCCCATCATCCTGACAGCACAGATCAATCACAATACAGCCCTGGTCCTCAAAGGCATTGATTTGATGAAAGGTAACAAATGGCTTACTGGAATACACTCCTGCAAGAGGCTGTGGGACGCACAGACAACGGAGACCGACACTCAGTTCTCTCCTTTCTTTCCCTTCCCCTCCTTTCTGCCTCCTTTCAGAAGAACGTCTACAAAGCTCAAATTAGGAGGCAAGCCATGGTCAGTAGGGATAAAGAAAGAAATATCAGGATACGCACCCCCACTCATATGCTATGGTTGGGGACACGCACCTCATTTACATGCCATGGCCAGAGATATGCACCCCATTTACATGCTCTGGTCAGTAGGTATAAAAAAAATTAGAATATAAAAGCAAATATACTTTGATCTAAGCCTTGCTTGCTTAAGTCGTCTCACTTCATTCTAATCAGTGAACCGAGGCTGTTTGACACAAACCCATCTGTTGTTGTGACTAATTTAAAGGTCCTCCTGAAATGTGGCCTAAATGTTCTACAGGATAAATAGATCCTAGGCTCTAATTGCAAGATTAATAGAAAACACTGCCACTTACGATGCTTATTATAAATTGAGTAATTGAAAAATACACTCATTCCAATAATTTTGTAATGAAATGGGGGTACCTTAAATTTAGGATGTTGTCTTCTTAGAGAGAAACATAGACAAATACAATGGTGCTATTACTGATGGGGACCCTGAGGCGATATTCGGCCAACATGCATGGACTTCAGTGGGGACAGCACACCAAGAAGTCCCAGAAGCAGCTACGTTAAGCCGAGAAGTGTCATTGCAGAAGTGGCAAAGAGCCCTGATAAACTGCACCCCTCTGCACTATTGTGGCACGAGAGAACTCGTGATGACAGAGCCTCCTGTGCCCTTTCAGTTCAAGCCCTTGAAAAACATCCCCTACAGTTTCCCAACATACAGCGTCCACCGTGCTCATTAATAAACAGCCAGCCCAACCAGCAGAAGAATGTAACAGCCTTAATTAGGAACGCCTTTCAAAATAATGCCCAGCGAGGGTGAAAAATCAGCCCTGCGGAAATTCGCCTTCGGGCACAGACACTTTCGTTACACATAGGCTCAGATACTCAGCCTGTCCGGTGTGCTTATCCACCACATGGAATCGTGTGTTATACTGGGGCTCCCAGCTTATCCCGTCAGAAAAGGCCTTTCCCCGGATCTTAGAAGTGACAAATCTCCACAGCTTCATCTTTAGGGGCTGTTCGATGAAGATTACGTAGTTTTCTGTCATTCCTAAAAGGTTCCACGAAACAATAAAATGTTACTTGGCAAACTAGGAGTGAGCTGAAGTGTGTTCGTAAGGGGGCCTGCTGGCCTGAGCAAGCACCATCCAGAAATACCTAGCTGTTTGACAGCTCAGCTGAACATATTTCCTGTTTCTACACAGAAAAGAGAACTGCTAAGAACACTTGGGTTAATGCCTTAGTTGGTTTTTCCCCCATTTTAAATCATTTTGCTTTAAGGATAACAGAAAGCAAAACAATACTTAAGTGCCACTTATGCTCAGTGCATTTGGTCCTTGGTCCTCTTCCTGTACACGCTGGAGGTGAGGACCTAGGAATATTTTGGCTATCACGATATATAATACATAAAATAAGTGTTCTGAAGAAAGGCTAAAGCATCTCAAAAGTTAGCAAAACATCATCATCATTATTATTATTATTGGTGATGGTGGTGGTAGTGGTGGTGGTTTTTAAAGACAGGGTTTCTCTGTGTAGCCTTGGCTGTCTTGGACTTACTTTGTAGACCAGGCTGGCCTCAAACTCACAGGAATCTGCCTGCCTCTGCCTCCCAAGTGCTGGGATTAAAGGTGTGAGCCACCACATCTGGCACAAAACATTATTTTTAAAGGCTGAAACAATATGCAAAATATAAACATACACACACACACACACACACACACGCACGAAAGTCAAGACCTTTTCATGTGTGACTATTATTTTAGGACTTTAATATCGACTAAAATTTTTAATCACCAATTAACATTTCTAGTAACTACTTACATTAAGCAGACATGTCTCTTCAAGCAATCTGCAGGCTAGCATAAGGAGTACAAGACTAAACAGAGTAACTTAACTGGCATTGATATAATCCTGATCTCATTATCATGATTGTTGGGATCAGTAAGCAGGCACTTCTATGGCCAGCTCCAAGGGACCTAACCGGTTATCAGGCATTTGTGAAGACACCCTGACCACCTGGAACTACCTGCGCATGTCCTGGGTCACCCTATAAGAGAACTGGAGCCCTCCCCTTCCTCTCTCTCTTCCTCTCTCTTCCTTCCTTTTTCTCTTCCTTACTCTCTTACTCTCTCTCCTCCTCTCTCCCCCTTCCCCTAATAAACCTCCCACGTGGAACCGATCTCGTGGTGTGATTTGTGAACCCGAGTGTAACCTTCACATTCGCACGTTTCCTAACAATGATACTATTAGAAATGATCATCGTGGTATTTGCCGAAACTGATCTTCCTGATACAACAACATTAAGGCGGAGCCCAGTGCCGCCCGCCTCAGCTATAGACTCACCAAAGCTGTGGTAATAAGAGGGCTTCATCGCCTCCCTGGAAGCGATAGAACACAGCACCTGTGCTCCGTGAATCGTCTCCCCAGGCTCTCTCTTCTCCGGGGGAACCCGAATAACATTATAGCAAGAACCTGGAAAACAAAAATTTCTCCCTTTACCATTTTTACTTGCACTCTAGAATGAAATATAACCCTTGCCCTTGCGAGTACTTAGTGAGTGTGCCATAAATAGTTGTTGATGGATTAACTGATAGCACATGTTTATGTAGCTACTCGGTGAATGAATAAATACTTAGATAGCACTGGATTATCTTCCTGGTATTATATTTTGCAGTATAAGACATGATGAACTTGTACAATTGTGAAATGGAATTTCACAATCACTATTGTTCTTTAGGAACAAAATAACCACCATTTTTTTTTTTTCTTGGTTCGTTTATTCTGTGGCCAATTATATTCCAAACACTGTTCTTGCTGGGAGCCAAAGCTATCTACTGAAGCCAAAGTCAAAGCTATCTAGTGGAACCAAAGCTATCTACTGAAGCCTAAATCAATTAGTGAGTCAAAGCTATCTAGTGGAGACAAAAGGTGTTTACTAGGCCAAAGCCAAATAGTGTGCAAAGGTCATTTAGTGGAGACCTAAAGCTATTTAATGTAAGTTATCTAGGACCCTAACTCATGGGTGAGAGACTGTGAGGACAGCCGTTTGTTAGAGCATCCTTGAGAAAACATCCCTATGGTATCTTGCAGGTACCCTATTTAACCCATGAAAGCACTCTTCCTGGCTCCTGCAGCAACTAATTACCTTCTCCCTTTCCTGCCTTCTCCCTATATAAGTTGGGTAAAAATTTCTAATAAATGGAAGCTTTGATCAGACAAACAGACTTGGCTTCCTTCCTTGCGCTTCTCGTCCCTTTTCCCCATTCCTTCCACTCTCCTCCCTTAGGAATCCACGTTGAAGCCCCGCTGGTCAGGGCATGTTCTAAGTATTCTAAACACTATATCCCAAACTCTCCTATATAGCAGCACACAGAACAGATAAGATCTGTTCACCTCTAAAACTCAAATTCTAATAAAATATCTGAGCAAAAATGCATCTGATGGCAATATGAGCTGTAAATAAAACAAGCTAGGAAGAGGAACTATAGTGGTTGTGTATAGGTGTGCTTCGCTCTTTGCCATTCTGAATATCTGGAGGAAATACATCCTGGCAGAGAAAGTGCATATGCAGCCAGGAACCGTTTGTAGTGTTCAAATAATAATGAAGAGAGGCCAGTGTAGTCCTGTCTAATAACCAAGGAGGAGAATCTAAAAGCTAAGACTGGAGAGGTGGGTGGGGTTAAGAAGCCAACTGTGGCCACTATGTTGAGAACACAAGAAAGTAAGATAAAGGAATTATCAAAGAAACCAAGTAAAAGGTTAGTTCAACAATCTTGATTGTGAGAATGTGGTGGCCATGGAAGTAATGACATGAGGGGGAGGGGGAATGTGGTGGCCATGGAAGTAATGACATGAGGTGCTGGATTTTAAAGGTATTTTGAGGGCATTGCTGAGATGCATATTTTGATTAACTGGGTGTAGGTGTGAGAGAGAAACATGAAGAATAATGATTCCAAAGCTGCCATTAGCAATTAGAAGGCTGGAGTCACCATTTTGAGAAAGTTTAGAGAAAAGATTTTGAGAAAAGATCAAAAGGTTGGTTTTGTGGTGCCTGCTGACATCCTGATAAAAACGCTGAATGAGCAATAGATACAAATTACTGCAGGTGTCCAGAATGGAGAGGCAGGTTTTGAGAGACCCCACTACCTGCACAGGAAACATCATGTTCCGAACAGTGACAAAAATACAGACAAGAACGGTGATGGATTAATATGAAGAAAACAGTTTAAATATTAAAAACTAACTGGGTTGATAAAACATCCAAAGAATTTTTGCAATTTATAAAGAGGATCTTAAAATATCTGAAAAGCATGCAGAAAGGGGGGAGAGGGTGGGACTGGAGAAGAGGAGGGAGGGGCTTATGGGGGGATACAAAATGAATAAAGTGTAATTAATAAAAGTTAAAAAAATATCTGAAAAGGCTAAAACATCATTATGATTCTCACTTTAATTTCTAAATCCCCTTTCTACACTTTTTAGTTCTTGAAAGTAGACATTAATTGCAGACATTTAAAATTACATTCCGAATTAACATACTCCCCAAATGTATCCTAGGAATTCAGGCTCCCTGCACCTACATACACACTTAGTTCCAGTTCAAAACCAACTCACTGAACCAGATAATCAAATGAGAAAACAGAAGCATGTTTAGTGTTGGTTAGGATTAGAGTATAAAAGGATTCCCAGTGTTGGCAATTGGATTATTCAGTTCACTGAATTTAAACACTTACTCACTGAACTATTCTAGCTAGAGGACTCTGAAGGCATCTTGAAGGCATTCCGAAGGAGAGGCATCTAATACTCTGAGGAATGCGAAGAGGACCTGCCTTGCTCAGCACCTTGAATCGGATTCTGGCAGAGTCTCCAGGAAGTTGAGGTGAAGTAACAAGTGAGATTCAAAGGCTGCTTGTACCAAGCTCCCCTGGGTCCATAGTAAGGGTGCAGATTCTCCACCTCTTTTCAGTTCTGCTAAACCAGAATTCCTATAGATGGGTGGAGCCATGATCTACTCTGATAGCAAGCATTCTAGCTGATTCTTAGATGCATTAGGTCGAAATTGATGATCTAGTGACTCTTTTAGAATATATAACTAAAAATGATATTTTCCACATTACAAATATGTTTCAAAATAAAGTACTTGCTTAATAGAGTTAATAAGTGGATTTTATGATCAAAAAAGTGATGAGTGGAACAAAAGAAACAAACAAAAACCCTGCTGAGTCACTATATCCATTGAACTGTTTTGCCAAGAAGGCTCTCTACTGTTTCCTATAACGCTTTTTAAGAATCAACCCCTATCTGAGAGCAAAGAAAACAAGCTGGGTGGGAGATTACTCGAGAAACCCTATCTGAACCCAAGCCGGTAAAAAATAGACCTGGAGCATTCACCTTCCCGTACACTCATGTGTACAGACGTAAGCCTACAAGGGAGCAATCCATGAAGCCAGCTATTCACAAAGGCATATACCACAACCATAACACGGCCTCCTTGACTGTAGACAACAGGCTGACTCAAGACACATAGTCATAAATATCGAATACTCTCAACTAGGACACTCTTGCTCAGAAACATGTGTTCTCAAGTACAGAGTGGGGTTATATGCTCAGAGGAAGTGGAGGAAGAAATGGTGACTGGGTGGAGGCAGAATGTTAAGTAATATCAACATAGCCTTCTGGACTCAGTGATGTAAAATTAATAAGATAGCCCAACAGAGTGACTCACGGCAAGCCTTTGCGTGTAAAGTCAGGCCCAGTTTCGGGTCTGGCTACAGAGACCTGGAAAAAGGCTCAAGCAAATGACTTAAACATCCTGGGAGTTCACTGGCCTCATCTGTAGAGGTGATAATACAGCCTTCGAGAGTTTGTATGTACAGATTAAAGCAGAAATGCACAAAGAAATATGTTTATCCCTAGCCCACCCTAGGTATTTAACAAACATTCGCTGTAATCATTAGATATTGGAATGTTCTGGAGCATATCGGTAGCAGCTTTGGAAGTACGTAGATGACCAGCAAAGTAGCATGGGGTAGAGCTGTGAATGCCACCCGCTATGACCCTAACTTACTTTGTAGTTAGTTACGCCTGTGTGGTAGACATTGGGCCCTCCCTAATTGCCTTCTCTGTAGCATTTCACATCTCTTGCTTTTACAATATAGTATGTTCATATATTTAAAGTTCACATTCAAGAGGTACGTGCTAAAAATGCCTACAATGTCTATACTACCAAAATCACAATGGAACATAAAAAGACAAAGGAAATCAATCGTTAAGCAAGGGCACAAAAGAACCACAGAACACATATTTATATGTGCCTCTTTGGAGGCTGCTTCCTGAACCCCTCAAATGATGTTTCCTGTTTATGTTTTAAACGTAATGGAACTTTGGGAAACAGTTTACCCTTAATTATGTCTAAGAATACTTTAATCTTCACTTCACCTCTTGGTCCGTAGGTGTTCCCCATATTGTATGCAGTTCCATCTGGGTCGTAATGAGGGTGTGCAGTCGCCCCATTCACAGCAACGAACTTGCTCCAGTCCACCTGCAGGTTTGAGAATTATAACGATGCCAATATATCTTTATCATAACATAGACACGTGTCATCTATGTTGAAAGTATGATATAAGAAAGCTCTGAGAAATCTACATTATTTTTCCTGCTCAGGAGAAAGAAACAGATGAGAAACAAAACAATTAAAACCAGCAGCACTGCGGCCACCAGCAAAAAAAATATCTGTGTGGATTTGTCTAATATCACAACAAAGTTCAAAATAAGCATAGCAATTATAATCAAAAATAAAATTAAAATTTTAGTCTGAGGTGGTGGAACACACCTATAATCCCAGCACTTGGGAGACAGAGGTAGGAGGATCACAAGTACAAAGCCAACCTAAGGTACACAGAGAGTTCCAGGCCAAGGTGAGCTACAGAGCAAGACATGGCATCAAAAACAAAATTGTTCTGAAATTTTACTAATTAATGTGCCAGGGCAATATGGGTCTACTCAGTCTCTACTCTGAGAGTCATTGTGCTTTGTGATGTTAAAACTAAGGAAGGAGTTTGGGATTATCTTTAAGAAAAACTAACCCTCTTCTTCCATAAGGATTCTGGCACTTTGCCCAACGTTTGGCTATGAGACCTGGAAGGGATAGGAACTCCACAAGGAGAACAACAGAGCCAAAATACCTGGGCCCGGGTTGGGGGGAGGACTTGCAGAGACCAATACTCCAACCAAGGACCATGCATGGAGAGGAGGACCTAGAATCCCTGTTCAAAGAAAGCCCATAGGCAGCTCAGTTTCCAAGTGGGTTCCCTAGTAAGGGGAACAGAGACTGTCTCTGACATGAACTCAGTGGCTGGCTCTTTGATCATCTCCCCCTGAGGGGTGCAGCCTTGCCAGGCCACAGAGGAAGAAGATGCAGCTAGCCTTGATGAGACCTGATAGGCTAGGGTCAGATAAAAGGGGAGGAGGTCCTCCCCTATCAGGGGAGTAGAGAATGGGCATAGGCGGAGAAGAGGGAGGATGGGTGGGACTGGGAAAAGACAAGGGAGGGGACTACAGCAGGGATACAAAGTGAATAAACTGAAATAAATAAATAAATCAACCCCAGGACCCATTCTAATCCTGCCAGGGGGTGCTGGTAGCCTAAATTAATGGATGCCTTTGTATGTGTGAGGATGAGCCTCTGATTTCTTCTTTAGCTGCGGAGATTCTACAAGGTACTCTAACTAGAAAGAAAATTAGGAGCTATTTTATTCATTTTGGGCCTACACATTACCTTTTCCGTCCTTTCCAGAGCTTCAATGTCCACTTTATTCATAAAATTGGTCTCTGTGCTCAGGAAGTAATCACCCTTGTACTGTACGAAGTTGACGCTGGTGTTGTCAGTCATGGCTGAAATCAGGGAGCAGACACTGAGCACAGACACTGAGGGAAAAAATGCCCCCCCACACACACACACACAGTGTGGATTTTTCAAGGACTGGAGAAATGTCTCACAACTTAAGAGCGTATATTGCTCTTCCAGAAGACCTCAATTCTGTTCCTAGCACCCACATAGGGCAGCTCACAGCCATCTGTAACCCCAGCTCCAGGAGATTTGACACCGTCTTCTGGCCTCCACAAACACCCACCATCACAGATACATATACATAAATAAAAATATCTTTTTAAAATCTATATTTTTCAAGATTTCTATTTGTACAGATACTAATTTAATTAGAGATCACTGTATTTTAAGGGCTACTTACTGGGTTGCTCAAACCTTGACATGAAACGTTCAAAAATATTCTTGCATGGGTCAGGCAGGGCCAGTGTGCCAAATTCTGAGATCACAATTCTGTCCCCAGCACTGTTGGCCTTGTATGTGTCGCTCTGTAGAAACTTGCTCTTGTATTTCACTGTGCCCTTCTCCATTCTGAACTGGTGAAGCAAAGCCATTCCATCAAACCAATGATTGTATCTGCAAACGGGAGGAAAGAATAGAAATTCACTTATGAGTAAGGAAAGCATGGGTCATAATGAGGGGGCAGAGGGATATTTCTGCCATCGAAATAGAAAGATAGTAGAGGCATGTTTCCCCAGAACTCCCCAATCATGCAGAGAACTTGAAATTAAGGAACAACAGTGTTCTCAGTTCTCTGGGCTATAAAAGGGAAGAGCAACTTGCATCCTCCTGACCTCTACCCTATGACCCTTAACCCCTGTCAAAAATCTCACTTTCCAATGGGCTGAAGTAAAACCCTACAGTGGTGATCCCTGAGGTAATTATGCTGATTTTCCTATAGGTAAGAAGACAGAGAAAGCGTGGCATTTTCCAAATCAGAACAAGTTCTTAAAAAGAAGCCTTTGTCCTCATATCTTAAGTGCATCTGTTTACTATAATTTTTTTCAGTTTTATTCTTTGCATAATGGTTTGTCTTATGACTATACTAGAAATTGACTATTAAAGAGATGGAGCAGGGTTAGCAAGATGGTTCAATGGGTAAGGTGCTTGCCAACAAACAAGCAAGCACCTATTGACCTGAATACAATCCCCAAAAACCACAGGATGAAAGGAGAGAACAGACTCCTGAATGTTGTCCTCTGATCTCTACATATATGCGGTGGCACATGTGAAAATAAAAACTAAACTATGGAACACTAAAAACCTGTAAGAAAAAAAAAAATTGTAGCCTTGTTTCAAAATAAAAGTTGTCCTAGCCAGTGTGGCGATACATACGACGATCCCAGTGCTTTCTGGAGAGCTGGATACAGGAGGACTAGGAGTCTGAGGCTGCCCTGAGCTAAGGCCCTGCCTCAAATGCTTGATGTAGTCAGCACAGTCAAGGAAGGCTTATATCATTGTCTGAGAGCCGCTCCTGAAATCAGCTGCTCTCTGTTCACTTGGGCTCAAGTCGGCCTCATTCACAAGAGCCAACAGAAACCTCTACCAGCTGTAGAGGTCAGTGCTCGTTACCCCAAAATCTGCCACTCCAACACACCATTGTGAGCCTGAAACACTTGAAAGTCAGCAGCTTCAAGAGGAGCACTGTGACCCATTATCTTTCCAAAAGTGGGAGATAAAACCCTCTCATGAAAGATGGCCTCCCTCCCTGTATCACGAGGAAGGCAGGCATCTCTTTGCCTGGAGACAGGGAGTTGAGGCAAAAAGAAAACCTTGCTAAACAAACTCCCTTTGACAGTGACCTTCCCATGATTAACTGCCCTAGTTCCAACCCTTGTCACATTCTCACAATTTACTACTCTTGGTCCAGCTACTACCCAGGCATTAGTACTAAGAGATTTTTTGAGGATCTCTCTCTCTCTCTCACTCTCACTCTTTCTCCTCCCTCACCTGGATAAATATATATACAAGAATTATCAAGAACACACTGAAAATAATAATTATTAGTATGTCTCTGTGTGTGCATTGTTTGCTTGTTTGTAACAGGGTCTCACTACATAACCCAGGCTGGCCTTGAACTTGCTATGTAGAGAAAGCTAACTTCAAACTTGTGATCTCCCTGCTCCAGCCTCCCAAATACTCAGTTATAGGCCTGCACCGCACTTGGTGACTCTTCAATTTTCTTATATGAATTGTGGAAATCCATGTTTCAGCATAACATGCTCATGACATTGAGGCAGGAAGTTTGTTTTGAATTCAAGGCTAGTTCAGGCTACATAGCAAGACCACATCTCCAGCAAACAAAACAGCCAGAGCCAAATCCCTTTCCTAAATATTTAATCTGCTGCTGTCGTGAGCAATGCTTTTGTCACCAGCACGGTTCTACATCCTGTCACCTTCAATTTTCCTGTTGTGTTTAGTTGTCTTATTTATTTTGGTGTGTTGGGTTTCCTAACCTTTCTTCTCGGTGGGGGTGGGGAAACTTACTCCTTTACTTAGGGTCTGGCCCCTAAATCGATGCCTTTATTCTAACTGCATTTCTTACATTGAACATCTAGTTATTGCATAGCAGTGGAAACCCTGAACATCTTCCCTTGGTATAGAAAAAAAAAAACATTTTAGCAATTTCCACTTTAGCCTTACTACCTGAGCTTAAAGATACAGGCATGAAGAGAGAGATGAGATATTACATATTCATATGTATATGAAATCGTGTTAAGAAACTATCTGTTAAGTCAGATTTTCCTGTAACACTTTACAAGAAACAGATGGTAAATTTCAACAAAAAGGCTTCCCAGCCCCTATAAGAAAGTTCTATTTTTCCTGAGACCAATTAATAATATGACACAGGTACATTTCCTAATGATGAGCCAGCTTTGCTTTCTTGGACTTAATTCCACCTAAACTTCATGAATTTTTTTTGTAAAGTGATGTTAAACTGTACTTGTTAATAAACAATTTATCAGTGTCAAATTGTTCTTTTGTATATGTGTTTCTAAATATAATTAGTCTGAGATTTCCTTTCTTGCCCTGTCTTTATATACTGAAATAATGCTTCCTTCATAAAATCAGTTGGTACATTTCCTTCTATTTCTAGGGCCATAAAATAATTTATAAATCAATATCAGGATACCTCCTATGTGATTTTTTTGGTAGAATCATCTTTGAAATAATCTGAGACTTGTGCCTTAAAAAAAGAATATATTTTTAATAATTGTCTCTATTTCAGCTGCCAAAAAGTCAATCTACCTAAACATTCTACCTCTATCTAGTAATTCATATTCTCTAGAAAGTTATTCAGGGTTTTCAATTGTATTTGCATTGAGACCTACAAAATCCCTTACAGTATTTTTTTTCTGTTTTAATAGCTATTTCTTTGTTCTCTCTCATTTTTGTTTATCTATGCTTTCTCACTTTTTTTCCATTCTGTTATCTATTGGTTTGTGTACTTTGATTTTTCTCAACTTTCAATCTCTATGTAGGCCTCCATCCTCCCCTCTACCTACTGCATCCTGACCTCTAAAGTAACTCCTTATCAGCCTCTTGCAGCAGCTGGCTGGGGTGCTCTGCTGAGCTTGGTGCATGCATACCATTCAGTGAAGACAAAGCTCTGCAAATTACAATAAACGCAAGTATGTCTTAAAAATATCCTGAGAATGTCTCTTTCTCTTGGTCCCTGGCCTATTTCCAAAAACAGATGGAGAGGCGTGATGGAGTGTGATAGCCAGGCAAGCGGCTTCGTGTAGCTGACAGAAAAGCAGAAAGGTAGTCAATGGGAAGGAAGGAGGGGCAGGAGGCGGGGAAGAAAGGAAGGGATTAACCCTTACAGCACAGTGTTCACTTCTGTAAAGTGAAATGAGTTCTGTGGATGGGTGTAATGGTGGCGGCACCCCAGGTTGGACAAACTCAAGGCTACTGAACTGTACCCTTGTAAGTAGTTAAGACAGCAAGCTTACGGGAAAAAAAAAAATGCATTGCTCAATTTTTAAAAGGTAATAAGCCCTGGAATATCAAGTCATTAAAAATACTGATCATCCCTATTTTGTAGCAACATAAAGTTACGGTCATGTGAATTTTTAAGTGTGTATGTGTGTCTGTCTGGAGGTCAAAGAACAGCTTGCTGGAGTTGGTTCTCTCCTTTGGCCATGTGGGTTGTGCTCAGCTCATCAGGCTCGTTGGTGAACACTTTTACACATTGAGCTGTCTTGCTGCTGTGATAGCACAAATTTTTAAAAAGCAAAACAAAAAAAAAATTTCCTAGTGATGATTGCAATTCTTATTGAATTTGTTTTTTATTTATTTTATTTTATGTGTATTAGAACTTTTGTTTTCATGAATGTATGTGCAGCACATGCATGCCTAATGCCCAGGGAGGTCAGAACAGGGCATCAGATGCCCTGGAACTGGAGTTACAGATGGTTGTAAGTTACCATGTGGGTGCTGGAACTTGAACACAAGTCCTCTGCAATAGCAACACGTGCCCTAACCACTGAGCCATCTCTCCAGACTGCAATTCTTAAAAAAGAAGTCTGTTGCAATACTGGAGAAGACTGGCAGAGAGTAACATGAAATTGATAAAAGAGGACATGTCGGGTAGTACATGCCCACCCCCACCTCACCCCAATAACTTTGCTATAGTTCAACTTTTTTCATACAATAATTTTCCAACATTAAAAAAAAGTTAAAAAGCAGGTTACATCCTAGCCATAGGCATTTCTTCTCATCATTCCATACCCCTCTTATACACCCAAAGAAATGATATCCTAAAGACCCCATTGAGTTTTCACCCATTGTATCTACTTATTGAGTGCTAGCTAGGTACAATTCAAGATATTGGGAGCATCTGGATATATTAGGAAGCATCTCTGCCCTTGTGGAAGTTACAGCCTAGTGGAGGAACACAGCTGACATACATCACCGAGGAAAAACAAACAAGGCTGGAGAGATGGCCCAGCAGTTAATAGTTCTGGTTGTGGCCCCATCTACTGCAAGAACAAAGACCGTTCTCAGCAATCAGACTGCCAACACCCCAGAAAATGTCAGCATCACTGTGAAGGGGCTCACAGTCATTGAGGCCCCAGGGAACCCTGCGGAGGGACTTCAATCACCTCAGTGTAGAGCTGAGTCATCCTGGGAAGAAAAAGAAGAGGCTCTGGGCTGACAAATGGTGGGGTAACAGAAAGGAACTGGCCACTGTCAGAACCATCTGCAGTCACATGATCAAGGGTGGTTCCCTGGGCTTCCGCTACAAGATGAGGTCTGTGTATGCTCACTTCCCCATCAATGTGGTTATCCAGGAAAATGGGTCTTTGGTTTAAATCCGAAATTTTGGGAGTGAAAAATACATTCTGCAGGATTCGGATGAGGGCAGGTGTTCCTTGTTCTATCTCTCAAGCCCAGAAGGATGAATTAATCCTTGAAGGAAATGATATTGAACTTGTCTCAAATTCAGTGGCTCTGATTCAGCAAGCCACAACATTAAAAACAAGGATATCGGAAAGTTTTTGGATGGTATCTATGTGTCTGAAAAGAGAAGTGTGCAGCAGGCTGATGAATAAGACCTAAGTTACCCTGCTCCAGAAACAAGATCTTGAATTATAAGTTTGATTTGGGGTGTCTTTTGGAGCAATAAAAGACATATATTGAAAAAAATTATTCTTGTTGCTCTTACAGAGGACAAGTGTTCAGCTCCCTGAACCCGCATGGTGACTCACAATTATCCATAACTCCAGTTTCTGGGGATCCATACGCCCTCTTATGATCTCTGCAGGCACCAGGCATATACATGATACATATACCTACACTCATGCAATATAAAACATATAAAATCCTCATACAAATAAAATAAATGATTAATAGGTAATTTTTTTAAAACAAACAAACAAAGGAAATGGGCACTAGTCACAATACTTCTATGTAGGAAACTGGCAAGGGAATCAACCCTGGTGTTTTCAGAATGCGAAGTCACAGAAAAGATTGAGGGAACGGCCAACCAATGCCTGGCCCAATCTGAGACCGCCCCCTGGGAGAGAGCCACCCCTCACACTATTAATGATACTCCGTTATGTTTGCAGACAGGAGCCTGGCATAGCTGTCCTCTGAGAGGCTCCACCCAGCAGTGGAACTAAACAGATGCTGAGACTCACAGGCAAACATTGGGTGGTGCTCAGGGAGCCTTGGAAGAGTGCAGAGGGTGGGGGTGAGGGACAGAAGGACCCAGAGGGGACAAAGACCAACAGAGCCAACTAACCGGGGCCCAGGGGTGCTTATGGAGACTGAAGCACCAACCAAGGGCAATGCATGGACTTCACCTGGGCCCTGCACATATGTAGCCGCTAGCTGATAGGAAGCTTAGTTTTCATGTGGGTTCCCTAGTAAGGAAAGCAAGAGCCATCTCTTACATGGACTCTGCTGCCTGCTTTCTGATCACTTCCCTCTGGCAGGGCTGCCTGGCCCAGCCACAGTAGAAGAGGATGCACTCAGTCCTGATGGGACTTGGTGTGCTGGGATGAGTTGGTAGTGGGGTGGGCCTTTCCTTTTCTAAGGAATAGGAGAGGGGAAATAGAGGGAAGAAGGAGGGAAGGTGCGGCAGGCGGAGGGGAGAGAGGTGGAAGGGGCCTACAATTGGGATGTAAAGCGAACAAATAAAAATAAATAAAAATTCACAGGACAAGTCAAAGGAAGAAAAAGAAACCCTCCCTTACCAGTGGGCTTGGGGAGGGGCATGCATGGAGAAGGGGGAGAAAAGGAGGGATTGGGAGGGGAGGAGAGAGGGAACTAGAGGGGGGATACAAAGTAAATAAAGTGTAATTAAAATTAAAAAAGAAAATAAAACAAAACTAAATAAATAAGCAAATAAATAAATAGATGAACAAAACAAAAATCAGTTCTGGGAAATTAGGGAGGAAAGGTAAGAAAGCATCAATGCCAAGATACAAAGAAAAATATGAGGAAGGGAAAGAGATCATTGTGACTGGGAGGTTCGGGTGGTAGAGAAAGAGGTAGGAGGTGAAGCCATGCCCTTTTTTCAGGACCTTGTGGTGAAATACCTCAGTAGTCTCACAGAAAATCTTGCATGGTTCCCTTGGGGCAGAACCCAAAGAGAACTTCAAATTCACAATTTGTGCTGGGAGTGAGGGGGCAAAATAGTTTTAAAAATACTTTGTTGTCCTTCTCTAGGCAACATTTACCCTGTCTGAAGCCAAAGGCAGCAGACACCTCAGAGAGGAGAGTTGAATGTATGCTCTAGAGACTCAAAAGCCCAAATTGTTGTCCAAAATCCAGGCTTACTCATCCTTTCCAAACTCGAACTTCCCAGGTCCTACTCGAAGCAGGTAGCCATTGAGCCACTCAGGAATGTGTCCTCGGACTTGCGCGCAGACAGTGTTTAGAGTCTCCTCCACTGTGGTCAGCAGCGGGGCAATACACGGCAGGCTCTGCTGTGGTCCCAACATGGTGCTACAAGTCCCCACACGCACTGGGAAAGAGAAGCAAAAAGCACACACACACACACACACACACACACACACACACATAAACAAGCAGACACACAGGCATGCACACATAGAGACATACACACATAAACAAGCATGCACACACATACACACACACACACACACACACACACATTGTTACAGGATCTCCTGTTAATATGCTCATTTCCCCAAATTTCTCTCTTTTCTTTTTCATTCTCAAGGTACCAACATGGATTCTCCATTCTGGACCATAACAATTTTTAGCCACAAGAGCAATCCTATCCTATAATCAGGAGCAGAACAACATTCCTGTTATTTCATGCTTGGAGACAGTGATGCACTAATTCAGAGAGGTGTGGTCAAATACAACTTTAGTTACAACAAAGCTACTTGTAACTTTGACTACAATTCTTTACATCACCGAAGTTATCAATGGTACAGGATCTAGATTAGAAAAATTAACAGATAAACTTACCCAATTTATGTTATGGTATATGATCCGATTTCTTTGAAATATTAAATTTTGAGCACATGTGACCTTTTACTTTCCTAACTATAACCATTCAGTCGGGCCCAGCTTTGTTTTTCCAAATAATATTCATTCCATTCTGAATGCCCTTCCCAAAGCCTCCCCCTAAGAAAATGATAGCTGGGAATGTAGATCAGTGGTAAAGTGCCTCCCCAACATGCACGAGGCTCTGTGTTATATTCCAACACCGAAAAATAAAACAAAGCAAGACAAGAAGAATGTTGGACAGTTGCGGTGGCACACAACTGTAATCCCAGCACTCAAAAAGTAAAAATGGAGAATATAAGGGGCCAGCCTGGGCTACCAAGTAAGATCCTGTCTCTTAGGGAAAGGAGAGCAGAGAGAAGTGGGAGGATCAGAAGGTAGTTCAGTCAGGAAGTTGTTTGCTATGCAACCCCAACGCCCACATAAAGAACAACAACATTACTTCACTCTGGTTGCAGCATCAAGCCTCGTTATCCTAACACTGGGTCAGTGGAGGATTCCACAGGTTGTTGGCCAGCCCATCTAGCCTAGCTGTGATCAGCTTCAAAAAACAAAGGCGGAAGGAAATTGAGAAAGACTACTATCAACCTCTCACCTCAACATATGTACACAGAGAGAGAGAGAGAGAGAGAGAGAGAGGAAAAAATCGACCTATTGTTCAAAGTCTAACTCAAATGTTAGACCTTGTCTTCCTTTAAAGAGAATGGCTAGAGTGCCTAGGTTCAAATCTTAAGTCTCTTCCAACAGTTTTCAACCTCTCTGTGCTTTTTCCCCAAAATGTTTAGTGTTATTTAACTTTTATTGATCAATACCATAGATGCACTACGGATTTTCTTTCTTTGAATTATTTCGGTTTTCCAACAAAGAGCCAGACACTGATGAGACACTGAAAAGCCTCCAAACGCAACAAGAGGAACTCGTTGCATAGCGGGTCAAATGAGTCATTTCAGCATTGTGTCCCTGTCCAGTCTGAAGACAATTTTCAAAAGAAGTATGACCCATTACTCTCTGTTAAAAGAGCTGACATAGAAATGCCTAGACTCCACTCCGTACCTAATATTACATAGTCTCTGGGGTGGTGCCAGCAAGCAGACTAAAAGATGAGGAGTTTTAGAAGTATTAAGAAAATGCTTTGAAAAAAAAGTAAAAAGAAATCTAGACTTTTCTTACTCTCCCCAGTGGTGAATTTATCAGATTCTCCTCTTACATTAAAATTCCCTGATACCATAAGATAGGATAAACATACTAAAATCTGTACACCTAAAGAAGATAAACAAGAAAGAGGACCAGGGATAAGATGATCAATCCTCACCTAGAAAGACAAAGGGGATGGACATTGGAAGGAGGAGAAAACAAGTAACAGGACAGGAGGCTACCACAGAAGGCACCTGAAAGGCTCTACATAGCAGTGTATCAAAGCAGATGATGAGACCCATAACCAAGCCTTCAGCAGAGTGCAGGGAATCATATGAAGGAAAGAGGAGTTAGTATGACCTAGAGGGGACAGGAGCCCCACAAGGTCCAAATATATCTGGGCACAGGGGTCTTCTCTGAGACTGTTTTTCCAACTAAGGACCATGCCTGGATATAACCTATAACCCCTGCTCAGACATAGCCTATGGTAGCTCAGTATCCAAGTGAGTTCCCTAATAAGGGGGACAGGAGTTGTTTCTGACATGAACAAAGACTAGCTCATTGAGCTTCCCCTCCCTCCCCCACCCCCACCCCTAAGGGAGGAGCAGCCTTGCTAGGCCACAGATAAGGACATTGCAGCCATCATGAAGATACCTGATAAGCTAGGGTCAGATGGAAGGAGAGGAGGATCTCCCCTCCCCGTGGACTCAGAAGGGGACAGGGAGGAGATGAGGGAGGGGAGGATTGGGAGGGAAAGAGGGAGAGGGCTACAGCTGGGATATAAGTGAATGTATAAAATTATTTAAAAATAAAAAAATATTTTTAAAAAATTCCCTGATAAAAAGTAGGGTTAGCTATTTTAAATAGAGTTAAACTGAACAACCCAACTAGATACCATGAATGGGAAGTGTTTCACGTTGTATGTCTTTTTGCTGTGCGCATGCCTGTTACCCTCAGAATTCAGAAGAGGGTGTTGGATTCCCTGGGACTGAAGTTAAAGATGGTTGTGAGCCACCATGTATATGCTGGGAATCAAACCCAAATCATCTGGAGCAGCAGCCAGTGTTCTTAACCACTAAGCCATCTCTCTGGCCCCTTCATTTTAGATTATATTTACATATCTGTATGCTCTATACTCCACAATACTGAAAATCTTATATTCTTCAAACTTTTTGTAGTACTTGATATGGCTGCCACCATCTCCTTACACTTGTTTCCACTCTTGGCTTGGAAGACAAGCTACTCTAGAGTTAATTGCTGTTTTACCTTTGCTGCCCTCTGACTATGCTTCTTTCCATCAGTTTCTTTATTCATTAGCTGGAAACCTTAGGCAAACACCTTAACTTCATGAAACCTCAAGTTTTTCCAAGATAAAATAAGGATTGAGAGAGCTTAATGATTCCTGCTTATATCTATCATCATAGTTAAATATAATGATACTTTGCAAATGTTAACCTCCTCCTCTGATCCTTTCCCTTTTATTGCCCACAAATATCAAGGTATAACCTTGGACCTTTACTCTTTAATTTCAACATTCTGCATTAGTAATCTCATCTTGGCTCTTAAATTCTCCAGTTATGTCTTAGATGTGGCTCTCACCTCTTTTATCTTCTCTCTGCATCAGCTCTTCCACCAGCAAACTTCTCACTTCAGTCTCTCTTTGGGCACAGAATTCATCTTGTTCACTCCCCTTATAACACAGTTCTGACCACAGTGGCACAGGCCAGTAGGGGAAATTTTTTAAAAAGATGACTTCCATGGCTTATGCATAAATAAAGTTGCTCATGTAGAATTTTGAGCCTGGGAAATTTATGCATAAGCCATGGAAGTCATCTTTTTAAAAAACCAGGCTCAAAATTCTACATGAGCAACTTTATTTTCACCAATCTTTCCTCCCTTGTATACAGTTTTTTGCCATCCTAAGCCCATCTTCCTCAGCACTGAGGCCTCAGCTTCTCTTTCCTACATGTCACTTCCTTCTTACTGCTTGACTCAGGCCCTTGACTTTTAACTAGATTACAGCCTCCCAACTGGAGAAGATGGAAAGAAAAACAGGGATGAATGAAGCTTCTTCTTCACACCAGTACTTCCTACTTAGTGAGTTCCTTGAGTCCCTTGGCTGTCTTAAGGGTTAAAGGCCTAAAATAATTGCCTCCAGCTCTAAATAGCTCATCAGGAATTCAGATTCTCATTTATCTGAATGAGCAGGGAAGATGATTTTCCACCAGTGCAATAATATTAAGAAGGAAGAGAAATACCATTACTAAATTAAATTTCCTACTTATAAAAATCTGCCTGCATCATTTATTCCTCCATAACGCACAAACTACTTATCCTTGTTGAAACTACCTGCCCAGGCACTTGAAGGCCTTGTATGGGCTCAGCCCACCTTACCGTTCACTCCAGCCTAACTGTACATATCCTCAGTCTCTTCTCAAGACCATTCTTCACCTAGAATATTCCCCATGTCTTTCAGATGGAATTTGCATGTATAACTTAACCTGTCAGCCTCGGTGTCTGGGTCACCTGCTTCCTAAGCGCCACATTCCCGTTTCCCCACTGCTGCTTCAGATAGCTTTCCTGTGCTCCTCTTCTTGCTATCTGGTGTGATGAGTGCACTTCACAACCTCTCCTAGCAGTACTCCTTGAATACAAAGTCTAGCTAGCCCTCCCTCTGCAGCACCAAGTGATTAGACAACTTTATCATTTCCTGTGCATATCGGTGCAATTTCTGGCAGTTCTGTATCAACCAATTACTGAAAATAAATTCTTGAAGTACTAGCTATAATAGAGAGCTACAAAATAAAACCCATAGGGTTTGAAACCATTTCTCAGAATGCAAATAGGAAAACCAAACCTTTACATCATAATGCAAAGCAGTGGTTTTGGTTGGGAAAAGTCAGAATAGAGAAAAACCCTTCCTATGAGGTATGCAAGAGAAATCTCTAGACTGAATCCTGCCCCAGTGCGTCACATTGAGTGAAAACAATGCTGTGGTTGGTAAACCAAGCCTTCTTTCACTTCTCCCCTGTGGAGTGCTGCCTGCATCACACAGAGAGAGAAGCTTCAGAAGCCTGCCATAATCTTCAGGAGCCAGGCACAGCAAGCAGTCCAACTGCAGACTGGTAAGAAGTGGGCCAGGGAAGAAAGAGGACGGGGGTGGTTCCCTACCTGGAAGCCGTGCACTGCCACAGAAAGGACCTCCACTGCAGTGGCAGGAAGGCTGCTGAGGAAACGGAGTTGAAAAATATGACTTAACTCAGTTCAAGGCAGCAGGTCTCACGAGTTCCAAATCCGCAGCCACTGGCCTTAAGTAAACAATGAGCCTGGGTTGTGCCTGGATCTGTGACAAAAATGAGACTAGTTGGGGAAGGAAAGCAAGGGGCGGGGCCTCTAAACACTAGTAAACTTAGTCTCAGTTCCATGGCAAGTAGCCTAACCAATTATAAATAATCTTTGACATTCGGACCAGTAGTCCTCCTCCTTAACCATCCCTTTCTGGAATTTGGCCCCACCTGTAGTTAAGTCCATGGAACTAGAGTCAGGAGTTCAGTACACAACGTCTCTCGAAATGATTTAGACAAAGAATAAAGTCCAGATTTAGACTGTCAGGCAACAGGTCACCCTTTTCCCTTTCATCTCATCCCTTTTCTTCTACATTCATTAGTTTAAAAAAAAAAGAATTCTCTCACAATAAAACAGACAGGACACCATGAATATATGTAACAATACATGATTTTCATTACTTTAACAAGTATCTTTGAGAACTTAAACAGCAAATACTGCTAGAATGCGAAAATACCAAGAAACAGGATTCTGCACCCCATTCCTTTTTTCCCCCTTCTTTGTATTTCTCTTTCAATCCCAACAACCTAGAGGCAGCAGCAGCGGCAGCTAGAACTCTGGGGGTTTCAAGGCCAGCCTGTTCTAGTGAGCTCTAGGCCATACAGGAATACCTACACCCTGCCTCAAACAACCAAAAGTAACTTGATGAAGTGAAAATTTAAAGTTTACAAACAGCAGCATAAAAGGACACTGCCTAATTTAAGAATACAAATTCCTTGTGGTGTCGTATGCAAATGTACCCAAGTTCTAATTGCTTATATTGGAAAATATACATATGGAAGACCAAACTGTCTATATGATTAAAAATGGAGACCGACTTTTTTGGACCCAAGTAATGTAGTTACCTATTATATAGGTCATTTTGAATAAAATGTTAGCTGTACTTAATTCTTATCAAAGGAGGAATTTTTTAGTTTGATACAAGATTCTCTAGACCTGTGGGTCACACCCCTTTGTGGGTAGAATGACCCTTTCACATAAGTCTCCTAAGATTAGAAAACAGATACTTACAATTCGTAACTGTAGCAAAATTACAGTTATAAAGTAACAACAAAAAATAATTTATGTTGGGGGTTACATGAGAAACTATAATGTTTGCAACATTAGGAAGATTAAGAACCACTTATCTAGACCAAATTCAACTTCACATTATCATGATTGAAGAAGCCTGCCAAAGCCATGTTTAAGCTGACCTCCTGAGTTGCGTATTACTAATTTCCATCTCATCTGCCTTATAGCCAAAGCTTCTAAACATAATTTACTAACTTTACAAATCAATGTGGTTAATAGGGAAAAAGCCACTCAGACAGTCAGACTTAGTGGTACATAGCTTTAGTGTTGTGTTGATACTAGGGAGGTTGAGGCAGATGCACCATGAATTCACCTGTGTTCCATACAGCATGACACTTAAGTAATAAGGAAATAATCAGATTATAGTCACTTCCAGTTTTTATTTTTATCACAAGAAAATATTTTAATCCAAAATTGTATTGGTCAAACACAATGGTTAAAAGTAAAAATAATCAAATGGTAATATTAAATGAGAGCAGCACATTGTTATATTATTTTTTATAGTTTTTATTTTTATTAATTACAGTTTATTCACTTTGTATCCATCCTGAAGTTATATTTTTATTATATGTTGAGAAACTGGACAAATTACCTTTAATGTTTTGATGTTCTTTTATAATATTGACCAAAAAACATTTTAAAACTATCTCCAAAATTATCTGCTATTTAAACAAATATTGTTAGCCATAATCAAATTAACAGAGTTAATTTGTTAACTTGTTAACAAATTTGTTAATTTGTTAACTCTTTCACAGTTTAAGAAGGGCTAAGCAATTTAGGAGTAAAGGATAAAGAACATGTATATAATTTTTAATTTACATTTTTATATAATGTGCCAAACATTTGACCCTCAAAGACATATTACACACTTCATACTAATGTCCACCTTAAAGCCCCTTTTAAATTTAGAAAAAGTTACAGTTTATTATATATTTTCTTTAACAAATACAGCACAGCAGTAATAGGAACATTTTCAGCTGGTATAAGCACTTTCCTTGTGCAGAGTGTTGGTAATCACTGTAAACCTCTGCTTCAGGAACTCCCTTTTTTGTACTAGGAAGTTTTCAATAATATTGGCTTCTTTGAAGAGTCCTTCTAGCTCATCGATGTAAGATGCATCTACTGCTGCTCTCTCACTAATAGGGGAAAAGTTGATATTAAAACAAATTATAAAATCTAGACACATCATCATTGTCATGTTTTTTTAGAATATTTTTATTATTATTATTAGTTAGTTAGTTAGTTAATCACTTTACATCTCAATTGTGGCCCACTCCCTCCTCTCCTCCAGGTCCCTCTTCTCTGTTCCTCCCTCATCCCCCCCTCCCTTGCCCCTCAGAAAAGAGACCATTCCTCCCCCACAAACCCACCCTAGCACATCCAGTCTCATCAAGATTGTATACTTCCTCTTTCACAGTGTCCTAGCAAGGCAGCCAGGCCAGGGTGAACTGATCAAACAGCATGCAATAGAGACCATGTCTGGGGGACCCATATGGAGGCTAAGCTGCCCATTGGGCATATAGGTGTAGAAGGTCTAGTTCTAGTTCATGCCTGGTTCTTGGTTGGTGGTCATGTTCTTTATACTTTATTTGTTAGCTATTTCATTTTCATGGCTTTGCCCATGAGAGAGCTTCATTAACTAATATGCTTCAAGAAAATATTAAAACAGCCCAGAAAATATTTTGACTACTTAAAACACAGAAAGTGCATCTTATATAACTTTCACTACAAATTACATAAATTATTAAAATTAAACTATTATTTGGATATAGTGACTATCCAGTAGCTTATAAAGCACCTTGTAATATTTCATTTTCTCAGGCCAATATTTAGATTCATCCTTCAAATGTATAGTGATAAAATATAAATATATGGAATATTTATATTTAATCTAACCCCATTAACGTTAATTTTACTAAATAATACTATTCTCAAAGAGATAACTATATAAAATGTAAAAGATATTATCTTCTAGAGACCAAGATATATCCACTCTGGTATTAGCACTAGAAATATGAGAAATGTTTAGATAAATTGGGGATTACTCCCTTAAAATAATCAACTCACCTATTGTAAGGAATTGACACAGAATTGTAGAACTCCAAATTTTTAGTTACCAGATAGATTTTTAAGCCATGGAATTAAATTTGTCACTACTGAGTTTTTAAAAGAAAAAGATTTCTAACAAAAATACACAAAAAAACCATAATTACTTGCCTTAAAATCTTTGCATATGTAGACAACATCAGATTAATTTCCTTGCTCATATCTGTTCAAAAAATTGAGTAGGTTATAAATATAACCAACCCGCATGATACAGTCAATACACACAAATACAAGCACTGTTTATACATCACCGCTCAGATCCTTCTCCAGGGCTTCCTCGTTATAAAAGAGTCCAGAAATTTCAGAGAAAGATGAATCTGATTTTCCAAGAGATGGTACCTGTGGACTATCAGACACCTGAGGCTAAGAAAAAAAAAAGAAAGAAAGAAAACAGATCAATGGTAAGGTCTTTAAGACATATATATTCTGCTTGTTTAAAAAGGAAACCAAACGGACTAGAGAGATGGCTCAGAGGTTAAGAGCACTGGCTGCTCTTCCTAAAGGTCCTGAGTTCCATTCCCAGCAACCACATGGTGGCTCACAACCATCTATAATGTTGCCCTCTTCTGGCATGAAGGCACACATGCAAGCAGAATATTGTATAAATAATAAATAAATCTTAAAAATTAAAAAAAAAAAAAAAAGGAAACCAAACATTTTCAGAAGGGCCAGGGACTGTTCTGTAGGACACTGTTTGCCTCATACACTTAAGGTTCAAACCCAGTATTCCAAAATTAAAAATGAAACTCTATGCCTGGGATTAGGGTTAGTTCAGAGGCAAAGCACTGGACTAGGTTTCATCAGTGAAAAATTGCCAAAAATACCAAAGATTATATACCAGTTACTTACATTTTTATCATCAAAGAAACCGTTAGACAAAAGAAAACACGTTACTCAAAATACTAAATTTTTTCTTTAGATTTTAAAAATGGCCTTTAACTCAATGGAAAACAGCCTTGTATCTTGCAGTGGTGTATATTTTTATAATACTACAATAACTGTAATTTAAACAACAGCCAAATGCCTGCAAAATTTTGCAATAGAGAGACTGGCAAAATGGCTCAGCAGTGAAAGAAAGCACATCCACTAAAATCTGATGATTTGAGTACAATCCCTAGACCTGTCTGTAAGAATTTTACTCCCATCTTAGCAAATAATTATGCATGTAAAGTCCCATGTACCAAAAGACATGGACTCACTTTACAGTTATATTTAAAGCCATAAGCTACCAAGAAGAAACTCCCAAACAGACATTTATATATCTGTTCTTATCGAAAAGCTAGGTGGTGTCCACACAGTTCCTCTCAGGACAATTCTACCTCTAGGCACTTTCTTAAAGAAAACATTAGAAATAGGTAAAAATACAATAAGCAGCTCCAGGGGGCATAAAAGCTTACCTCCGTATCTCTTAACCTCTTGCAGTTTCTAGAGTCGGGTTTTACAAAGTGGTTTGCCATCATACTCTGGATATACAAAGTATAAAGTTTAGAGAAATGTCAATTAAGTACGAACTCCACACTACAGTTCTCTTCATCTATGTCCTTTCCCCAATTCTGTTACTGATTTCTGCTTTCCTAATCTGCCTCTTAAATTTATTTTCTCCCCTCTAATTCATCCTACCTCTCAAAAGTTTTCATTCAAAAACCCTCTGGGTCAGTAAGTTTTATCACATGGCATCTAACATCCTCCATTATCTGAGACCAACTTACAAATCGTACCATTTTCAGCTACAAGCCTCAACTACCCACTACAGTTCTATCTTGTTTCAGCACTAGAACATTTAAGATTCTTCTAACTTTATAAGATTTTAATGTTAGAATTAAGAGATTAGAGCTCCCCTCTTTCTGTCCTCCACTCTTTCCAAATGAGGAAATGGGCAGAGATGGTTGACCACATTTAAAAAATAAAACTGAAACAAGATCTTCCAGTCTGAGATTGTTTCCATTGCCCTACCCTCACCTTAACATGCCATCAAATAGCTTTCCCATAAATTCTGAAGCTATTTCCCTAGGGATCTAAACTGCTTTTAACACTTTATTCATTTTTATTTTTTTGATTTTTATTTTATGTGCATTGGTATTTTGCTTGAATGAATGTCTGTGTGTATGTGGAGTTATAGACAATTATGAGCTGCCATGTGGATGCTGAGAATTGAACCCAGGTCCTCAGAAAGAGCATCAGTGCTCTTAACCACTGAGCCATCTCTCCAGCCCCAGGATTTAAACTGCTACGATTTAAACTTGAAAAGACTTTGGAACCTAAAACTACACCTTGAGAGTTGTAGAACTATTTACATTCAAATTATCTTTTATTTATTTATTGGTTTTCCAAGTCAGGGTGTGTGTGTGTGTGTGTGTGTGTGTGTGTGCGTGTGTGTTGGTTTGTTGGTTTTTCAGGACAGGGCTTCCCTGTGTAGCCCTGGCTGACCTAGAAGGTACTTTGTACACCAGGCTGGCCTCTAACTCAGAGATTAAAGATGGGCACCACATACCCAGTTCTATTTGTTTCTTTTAAATACCATGAGCTAGATAACTGTAAAGAATCTGAGTACTTACATATAGTATGCATAAGATGGAAACAAGAGCAAAAAGTAGATTATAAAGACGTTTCTAAATGCAGCACAGTACTTCCATGTGCTTACTATCACCTTCACAGTACTAAGCTGAAGTGGAAAAAAAAAAAAGGAACGCATGGATACACTGACCGTCCTCAAGTATTGGAAAGTATTTCCGAGAAATGAACACTAGGAAAAAGTCTTCTTCCCCTTCTAGTTTTCCCTTTTCTGCTTCTTCTTTCCTTTTACAAACTAACAGAACACATACACACATCCAAGAAAACTTCCATAATTACATAATTCTGTATTTGTAAAAGTGATTTCTGTCATAATTTAAAACTCCTGAATAATCCAAGTCTGGGTGAAGAGGCTCATCCTCACCCTGGGAAAATATCATGACCTGCCGCTTTGCCATCCGAGGCTTTGCCTTGTGCAACTGTCTGTTGTTATTTGTTTAGTTTTTCTTCGGCGGGTTTGGCTTCGGGTTTTATGGGACTGCGACTCACCCCATGAACCGAACTGGCCTGGAACTCACTGGGTAGCCGAGGCTGGACTCAAACTCGCAGCAATCCTCCTGTGCCCCCGCCCCGAGTGCTGGGATTACAGGCATGTGCTACTACTGCCGCTTCAGCGTGCTGTTCTCCCTTTACAACGCTCCGGTCTCCTCGGTCCTTTCTCGCCTCTTTGCCTCGCCTCCCTCACACCTTCCGGTCAGCGCTGCGACCCCACGCCAGGCCCCAGACCCGGACAGGCCGCGCCCACCCCACTCCCTGCTTCCCTTCACACTTCACGCGCGCACTCACCCTCTGGCCCCACCAGCGATTCGGCCACGACCTGCCTCCTCAAAGCGGAGCGAGGGTGAAGGCTTCGTGGCCCTCTGCGCAGGCGCCAAGTGCACGGCTCCCGGCAGGCAGCGCGCGCCCACGTGACAGCCTCTCGTCCGTCCATTTCCCGCCCTTTTCTCTCACCTTGGGAGCTTGCTTCCCACACTGTGGAGAAGGAAGAGTAAACTTCAAAACTGGATTCTAGGAGGGAAGAGAGGCGTTGCCCTGGGAAAGCCAGGCCAGGACTCTCAGCAGATGAGCATGAAATAGTTCCCACCTGCTCCTCTCAGGAAAGTGCATGCTCAGCCTACGGTATGCAGACAGGAGAGTCAGCCGGTTCCTTTAGCCCACAGTCTCCATCATGTCCCTCTTCGTCCCTGTGAGACCAAACTCTCTGAAATGCATCCTTTTAATAACGTTATGAATAATAAAAAAATATGTCAGTAAGTTTAGCTGTCTTAGTGTTCAAAAAGTTCACATGGTTCATACACTCGAAGCTTAACCTTTATTGGGTACTGTCACATGCCGACTTTGACTTTCAGTTTCCAAGACAAACTTCCTAAAATCTTTCCGGCTAGTTGACTTGGTACAGAAGTAAGTATATTGCCTCATAAAACAAAGGTCAATGACATGCCTCCATGAATTCTGAGCATAAAATTTTACATTTTAAAAGGCTGTTATTTAACACGTGGGTTTTTGGTTTTGTTTTTTTTTTTCCTTTTGTTTATTTAAAGGCTAGCATCAAGGCTGAGAAGTGGCCAGCGATATGGAGCATTATTGACTAACTAGAATGTTCCTTCCCTGATGTGGGAGCTGAGGGGCACTTGAAAGTATGTTATCTGTGTTGAAATTTTTACCATCTGCAGTACAATGATAGAAAAAGTAATACATTTTTTATAAATTTGATTGTCTTCATTTTGTAGGACTTTCATGGCCCTGAGTTCATTCTCCAGCACCCATAAACCAGTGCACACATGAATTCCAATACTACTAGGAAGGTAGAGGCCAGAGGATCATAAGTTTAAGGTCATTCTTGCCTACTTTTGAGGCTGCCCTGGGATACATGAGACCTTATCAAAGTAAAAGACTATCCCTTGTTAGAAGACTGGCTTTTCTAAATTTTTTTGGTATAAACATGAATTAAAATGGATTTAAATTTTTAAGCATTCCTATTTACCAGATATAAAGCTCTCCACTCAGTATTTATTTGGTTTTGTTTTGGTTTTTTGTTTGTGTTTGTTTGTTTGTGAGACAGTCATGTTTTCTAGTCCACGCTAGACCAGAATTTATAATCCTCCTGCTCCAGTCTTAACTATTCTATAGTATTATCATTAGCATAGTTATTTTATTTAATAAATAACTATAAATAAATAAATAATAAAAACAAATAATTTATTTTTAAATTCACTTTACATTCCAATCGTAGCCTCCTTTCTCCTCTCCTTCCAGTCCCACCCTCCCTCTTTCCCCTATACTCCCTCCCCTACCCTTAAGAAAAGCGGATTTCCCATCCCCACTCCCCACCTACCCATCCCAGGACATCAAGTTTCATCAAGACTGAGCAATTCTTCCCCTCTGGCCTGGTAAGGCAGCCTGCCAGGGGGAAGTGATTGAAAAGCAGGCAACAGATTCCATGTCAGAGACAGCTCCTGCTCCCCTTATTAGGAAATCCACATGAAGACTAAGATACCCATCGTTTACCTAAGTGTAAGGGGCCTAAGTTGAGTCCATGCATGGTCCTTGCTTGGTGCCCCATAAGCCCCCTGGGCCCAGGTTGATTGGCTCTGTTGGTCTTCTTGTTGGTCTTCTTGTGGTCTTCTTCCTCTTTGTCTTTCTATTCTTCCCCCATTCTTCCACAAGACTCCCTGTGTTCTACCCAGCATTGTTATTTTTAAAAGTCCATTAAATCAAAAAGTTTTAGTGATAATTGGTCTATTTCCTCTCCCAACCTTCACATTGTAATAATATCTCTAAACAGATAATTATCCATTTGGTTCTTAAAATATTTCAAAGAAAAAAAATCTATCCTAATGCATGTTTTTATTAGATTAAAAGAAAACTGTAACATTATTTTCTTGTTTTAATATTACCTTCATTGTATGAATTAAATGGGTCATGAGAGGGCGTGGAGGGTGATGGTTACCCAGTGTCTTAGACTCTTCCAAGGACTGCCAACAAGTCTATAGAGAAACACAATTTACTCCATATCATAGGGAAAAAAAAAGAACCTTGTGTGCACATTGTTCCTCTCCATCTCCAGAGCTGGAGGATGCTCACTGGCATCCGCTGCTAAACTCTTTCTACACTTTGGATATTAAGCTCGGGATCGCTGGCTGAAGGATCTACAGTCAGCTCCCCTTGCTGCATGACTAGCAATCATTCCGTCATTGCTGTCACTTGGAGAATGAAAACTTGCTATTTCAAATTCAGTCACACTCCTGTTCCTATCACATTCTTTAAAATATTACTGCGCCTCCAACCATCTCATCACTAACTCCTTCTGTAATCATAGCTATGGACATGATGTTTTCATGATTTTAGGAAATGAAAACTACCCTGTTTAAAAAAAAAAAAAACCTTCAAAACTACCTGCTTACACAACATTTTATTTCCTGACTTTAGAAGCTCTCTTACAATTTCTGTACTGGGAAAAAAAATAGCCACTTTGCTAATTTCATTGCTAACAAAGCAATAATTTAGCTGTGTCCAAGTAAAAAGTCCCTAAGAAATACTGCTATCGTTTCATTTATACTCTAGTTTTTAGAAGTAACATTTTTGAACTATATCAATGATTTGGTTTGAAGGCTGTATCAATGAGTTAAAGATAAGCCTTAAAAAATAATCTCCCAGCCGAGCGCAGTAGCACACACCTATAATCCCAGAACTCTGGGAGACAGAGGCAGGCGGATCTCTGTGAGTTTGAGGCCAGCCTGGTCTACAAGGTGAGTCCAGGACAGCCAAGTCTGCACAGAGAAACCCTGTCTCGAAAAACAAGACAACAACAACAAAAACCTCCCTAAATCATATTTCAAATATTTTAAGGCAGAAATTTGCCACCATCCTAGGAATAGATGGTTCTGTTTTGTGTTTGTATTGGGAGAGCATTGCCTGCAGATGCTCTAATGGCACAGTATACATGTGTCAGTCAGAGGACAGCCTAGGGTGTCTTTGCCATGGCATACCTGGCCCTGGAGCTCCTGGGGAATCCTCCTGTCTCCACCTCTCATTTTCTAAAGGTGTACTAGAGTTAGACACTAAAGCTACTCTGTCCAGCTTTTAGTCAAATTTTTACTCAAGCTTTTTATTCAAAAAAGTTTTAATAGTGGGGCTAAGGAGACAACTCAGCCAGTACAGTTCTACCACAGAAGCACAAAGGCCTACATTCAATCCCCAATTAATTCACATTAAATAATAATAATGTTATTATTATTAACATTATTATTATTATTATTACTAATGCTGGCATAGGGCCAGGGAGATACCGCGGCACGTAAAGGCACTTACTGCCAAACCTAACAGCCTAAGTTCAATCCATGGGGCCCACGTGCTGTAAGGAGTAAACCCACTCCTGCGAGCTGTCGTCTGACATCCATAGATGTACCACGGCACATGCAACTCTCACACAGGCACACAAAACAAAAACATACATATATAATTATTATTAGCATGCTGGCATGTACTTGTAACCCCAGCACTGGGTAGTGGAGACAGTCAGGTTCCTGGGTATCACTAGCTTTGATAGCTAAGTCATGTGACCCCCATATTCTAGTGAGAAACCCTGTCTCAAAAACCATTATGGACAGTTCTGAGAACAACACTTGAAGATGGCCTCTGCCTCTACATGAATGCACAAATCCCCCACATCCACACATGCAAAATTATAACGATATAGAAAAAAAATTATAATGATACAGGTTTTGGCTGGTATTTGATATGATAGTGGAAAAGCTTTACAAAAATGGGCTGATTCCAGACCATTGAGAAGTAAATCTGGGGCGGTGGTGCAGGACTTTAATCACGGCACTCAGGAAGCAGAGGCAGGTATGTCTGTGAGTTTGAGGCCAGCCTGGTCTACCAAGGGAGTTCCAGGACAAGCCTGAAGTACACAGAAAAGCCCTGTCTGGAAAAAACAAACAAACAAAAGAGGTTAGAAGTAAATCTGAAGAGCCTCTATCAAGTGTCATACTTCCCATGCTGAGCTTGGGAAGGTAAAATCCTGAATAAGGTCTTAAAAGGAAAGAAAGAAAATACTATACAAAAGTATTTATTTCCCCCAAAGATATAATTTAGGGCTATTTTAGGTATAATGACTATATTTTAGAAATTACTCCAGTATAACTGATTATTCACTGGTATTAAATAAATACGTTTCATGCTGAAATGTGACAAGAGCCTCAAACACAGAGGCTGGTGTGAAAAAAGGATGCTCTGCTCAGCCAAGCAGGTTCACTTCCATACATTGCTTTCCTAACCTTCTGAAAGAGACATGGACTTTGGAAGGGCCAGGCCCCAACTTTTACAGAAGGGCTGGTTCACTAAATAGTGACACTCACATTAAAGGAAATGTCCATATTTTCTAGCATATTGCTTGAATTTTTCTCGTGCCCTGGAAAAGAGGCACCATCTGAAGGCGGGTCTGAGGCGTGCCAGGGGCAGTCTCCTCCCTTGGCCTCTCTCCTTCCTCATTCCTCTCAGTGAGGCCTTTTCTCACTGACTGCAGCTGGATCCACACCCGGGCTGCAGATTCTCTGTGCCTCCATGCCCTCTGCATTCCTGGCTGCCTGCTCTGGCCCCTGAGAGAACTGCCACCTTCTGCAACCTCCAGTGTCAGGAAGAGGAAAGAGGCCGCCAAGCTTCCAGAGCACTTCCTCTTGGCCCAGGTAAGACATGTCCCTCTTTTTTCGGACACGCTAGCATGAGAATTAGAAGTAAATAAGCTGAAATGCTACTGAGAGTACAAGTCTCCTCTATCACCAAGACAGGAAGTCAGTAATCTCAGAAGGAACAGAAGCAGAAGGAACAGAAGCACATCTTTATTAGACATGAGAATGTCACTTCAGGGCAGAGATTCTCTTTTCTCTCTTGAAAATTATTAAGGACCTGGGGAGCTTTTGTTTCTCTTGGCTATTTACCATATTGCTATAATGCACTGTACTAGAAAGTAAAGCTGAGAAATTTTTTTTACGTTACCTAGTGTTTTATTTAGTTTTGTTTTGTTTTGTAAAGTGTATCACTTATATTGGGGTTGGGGGTCATTCAGACAGGGTTTCTCTGTGTAGCCTTGGCTGTTCTGGACTCACTTTGTAGACCAGGCTGGCCTCAAACTCACAGAGATCTGCCTGGGATTACATGCATGCACCACGGCACCCGGCTTATCACATGAATTCTTAAATGACATTTTTAGAGACAGCCATCTATCCTGAACAGCCTTTCGTATATTTACAAATCTCTTTAATGACTGGCCCAATGGAAGAAAGCGGGATTCTTCTCGCTTTGTCTTCAGACTGCTGCAGTGATACACAGAATTCGCCTCTAACACTCTCCTGTCCCCTTCTAAGAGTATGAGATCTAAAAGGCAAATGGCATCCAGGATTACTAGAAACAGCGTCAGCTACTCTGTGAACCCTAAGAACCTCTGCTTTGGAATGTTGAAACAAGCTTTTCTTTCAAGGAAGTCTCAAATCCAAACCAGTTCTGTTGAAGCAAACAAGACAATGTGCAAGGTTGATAATCAGTAAGCTCTGCAGCAGAAAACTGGGTTGGTCTGTACTTGGGTAGATTGTGGCATTCTCTGACAAGACTATTTCACAAGGAAGGGCTGAATAAGTAAATGATCTCTATTTTTCAAGTCATATAACAAAACCAATTAAGATATCCTTAATCTCTTTACGTGCTGCCTCTTTTCAGCTGACCAAATTCTATGCCATGCTCCTTCAGAATATCTTACTTTTTTTTTTTACCTGAGGTGACTTCCCACTGCTGTTAAGATCAGAGTTTGAGTCTCCCATGACACCCTCCATATCCTCCTGTTCACAATAAAGCAGCTCCACCTGCCATCTCACCCCACCATGCCTCTGTTCCCCCCTCATGCACAGACTCTTCCTGGGTGCCCTTCTCCCTCTGTCCAAGCATTTCTTCTCCCCTTACACACACGCATTCCAAGTATGTCAGTTATGTGTGACCTTTTTTTCAAGTCTATATTTAACAGTTGATTAAATATACCTGTCATTAATGATCTAATTTCCTGTTGGGTTCTGCCCCTGTTGCTTCTACATCCCACATACATCTTACTAAACTGTACCACGTGGCCAGTGAGATAGCTCAGCAGGCAAAAGCACTGTGTCAAAGCCTGCTGACCACTGATCCATGAAACCCTTATAAAGATGGAAGGAGTCCCTGACCTCCATTCACGTGCCATCATAAACTACACACACACACACACACACACACACACACACACACAATACAGGTGTTTTGTTTCTGTTTGTCTAGTTTTGTTTGGTTTTGAGACAGGGCCTCACTCTGTATGCAGCTCTGGCTGTCTTGCAACTACATAAAGCAGACACCTCAAACTCACAGAGATCTGTCTGCCTCTGTCTCTCAAGTGCTGGGATTAAAGGCATGTGCTGCTATACTTGACTACAATATAGGCGTTGTTTTTGTTTGTTTGTTTGTTTGTTTGTTTTAATGTTGAGTGTTGATCTTGTTGAAGTCAGGATGACTTCCCATCTGATTGTAGAAATTTAATCATGTAACTGGCCCCATCTGTCCAACCCACATCTATTTCATAAAACTGGAATTTCACAGACAGGAAATATGGGATCAGAGTTGCTTTTCAAGTTCAAGCATTTTACTTGTATTTAAAAATACTGGCTGAGCAATATTCTATAGCTGTGTATTGCTTTCCAGTGGTTCTCAACCTTCCCATGCTGCAACACAATACAGTTCCTCACGTTGTGCTGACTCCCAACCATAAAATTTTTGTTGTTGTTACTTCATAACTTAATTTTTCTACTGTTATGAATCAGAATGTACATATCTATATTTGTGACCCCCCTCTGAAAGGGTCGGAGGACTCTCAAAGGGGTCAAGAACCTCAAGTTGTGAACCAGAACCGGAGGACATGGCTACTATGACATTGGCCTCATATAAATGGCTCTTTCCTGGCAGCTTCCACTATAGCCTAGAATTGCAGAATGCTCGGGCTGCAGAAAAAACTCTAAAGCTTCCTTGTTTTCCAAATGCAGAAACTGGCGACCCACACACACACACACCAAGTCAAGTAACTCGCCCCAGACAAAATTGGAACTCATGTGACCTAATTTTCATCATGAAGCTCTGCCATTCAGTCTCTGTGGGCTAGTTTTCAAAGACTTATACTACATCTTTTTTGTTTGAAGACCCAAATCTTCTGTGTACTCCTCTTGAGGCTCTTTATGAGACGATTAGATGAAGGCTGCAAAAGTACACAAAAACCCGAGTTCACTCTCCAAAACGCAAGTTTAAAGAACAAGCTGTGTGGTGCAAGTAAATTCATAATCCCAGTGCTCATCTAACAGAAACAGGGGGCTTCGTGGCTCTTGCTGACGATCCAGTCTAGCCAGCAGGCAAGTTCCAGGACACTGAGAGGTCCTGTATCAAAAACATGGGGTGTTGCCAGCAAGATGACTCAGAGAATAAGAGTGCCTGTGGGGAGGCCTGGCCCCAGAAATGACTTCTGCAAGTGGTCCTCTGAACACACACACACACACACACACACACACACACACACATACACCACACACAGAGTAAGAACATACATGGACATTTACACATACACGTGCAAGAAACTATTAGATAAAATGTTCAGGCCATTCTTATCCCCTGGGAACTGTATTTCATAGATTAGAATTGAGAAAGCAAAGAAATATGAGTGAGAAGGAATTAGAGAAAAAATGGGAAGAGGAGTGGAGAATAGGAAGGTCACAGTTGCAACCATGACACACTGAGAGCTAACATAAGAGGGGACAAATAAGTGAAAACCAAAGTAAATACACAAAACAAAATAAATCAGAAAACAAAGAATGTTTAAGAAAGTATTACATTTTGATTCACCAGCTTTTAGGCTTCCCTTCTTTTCTTTCTTTCACTGGGTGTTAGAGGGAAGTTTTAAGGTCTGTCCCCAAATAATAGAATGTAATGGTGGCACTATGATCCAGGTAAAATTAAAACTCAAATTTAACCTGTCTTTCTCCTACCCAAAGAGATCAGGCATACCTAAACAAGACTTATTACCTGGCTTTCCTTCCCTGGTTTTTGTCAAACTACACTGCAAGTTCCTCTGAATTAAATTGGGCAAAATTCAAATAATGTGATAGGAAAATAATGGTTTTAACTTTATAAGTAAATGGAAATAATAAGAATATTTCCAAGTTAAACACTTGGTCTAGATTGGCATAATTTCAGTGCTGCTAGGCCAAGGGGACTGTCAACTGTTAGCACTATTGCCAGGTGGAAGACTGTGGAACTATCTGCCTCCATCACTATGCATAAGCCAATCCTTACATATCTCAAAAGCTCTTCCACTGAGCCCTAGCTCCAACCACTCTGCCCCTCCTTTTTTTTTACATTTTTCTAAAATTTGGGGACAGAAACTAAGCCACCTAAGCTGACCTTGAAACTCTCTCTGCATTACCCAAGCAGGTATCCTGTCTCATCTGCCCTTGTAACTGGAGCTACAGGTCTGCTCCATCAGACTGGATTATAATGCTGTTATTAAAGTATTATTTTATTACAATGTGTGCATATGCATGAACAGGAGTGAGGGGGTCAGAGGACAACTCCTGCTGAGTCAGTTATATAGGTTCTGGGACTTGAACTCAGGTTTTCAGATATGGGTGGCCAATGCCAGAACCACCTCACCAGCCATATATTATTTTCCATCACAACTATTTTATTTTTGCCTTTTTTGAGACATGATCTCACAAAACACATACTGGACTCTAATTCTCTGCGTAGCTGAGGATAACATTGAACCTCCTGCCTCTACCTTTAACCCCTACCTCACCTTTTCCTACCAAATGTGATTACTGGTGTACACCAACACGCCCAGGCTTAAACATTTTCAGATCTGATAACAACATTATCAATGTATTAAGGGGAATTGTTACTCTTTGTGACACGAACAATCTCTAGCAAGATGCAAGTATACAATATTAAGAGGGCCAAAGTACCACCATGATAAGGTGCGAGGAGAACACACCCTACAAAGCATTGTTAATAATGCTGAGAAGTGAGTGGGGAAAACGCATGTGCCCACATTGGTGGCCATCCACGTGTGCACCCCAAGAATGGTGCCCCAGTACTGTTACATTTATTACCAAGAAATAAAATAATCTTGGAAGCATGTGGGATCTTCAGAAACACATCCTTTCTGAAAGCTGTGACTGCATTTACAGTTTGTATGGTAAGATGATGAAACCTCAAGCAAGCCTTGGTTTCTCGTCCCAGCTCCCTGGCCCTCCTTCACAGAAACCCTCCCCTGCTCTTGACAAAGCTGCTCCTCTGTCCAGGCTGCACTGACATCACCGTGAAACCTTCATCACCACCACAGAAGCCTCCTGCATCTCCACCAGCTCCTACTACATCTGGCATTCTTTGTCTCACCCACAGCCATCTGAGTCACTAGAAGATGGGAGCAAGTTTCAACCAGCTTTTAGCCTCGCGATTGCCTCATAGTCGATAGTTAGTGTCTGGATGATAAACAAGTACAAGAATTGTGGGAAAGGGTGTTTTGTTTCACTGTTGCTGGTCTAATTTTTCGAAGGGCCAGGCAGAGCCTTGTGCATGCTGGGCAAGCTCTCAAACACTGAGCCACATCCCTGACTTTTTTTTTATTGAGACAGGGTCCCACTATGTAGCCCAGGGAGCCTGCTCTTTAATTCGTAATCCTATAGCTTTGACTTCTCAACATTGGGATTACAAGCATGTACCACCAGCCCCATCTAGGAGTAGTTAATTAATAATTAATTCATTTTATGTGTTATGGATGCTTTGCCTGCATGTATGCCTGCTGCCTGTGGAGTCCAGGAAAGGGCATTGAATCTCCCAGAACTGGAATTATAGATGGATGTGGGTGCTGAGAATGGATCTGGGTCCTCTTGAAGAGCAGCCAGTGCTCTTAACCACTGAGCCATCTCTCCACCTGTAAGAGTGGTATTTTAGGGTAACTGAATCCTTCTCTACGGTCATTTACCTAAAGACTAATTAAATACTCACTATAGTAAATGCTAGTAATTTTAAAATCCCATTTTTGTCCATTGTGTTTGCTGTATTCCAGGCAAGTCACTTTGAAAAATATGTATACTATATAATATTAGAGAAGACAACACAGTCCATTATTTCACTAACAGCGAATCAAAATAGAGTTCTACCCTTTCACTGCTCTAGTCTCCTTCCTCCTTCCAAATAGTCTCCCTTCTACTTTTCTTTCTTTTTTTTTTCTTTTTTCTTAGTTTTTAAAGACAGGATTTCTCAAACCCAGAGATCCACCTGCCTCTGCCTCCCCAGTGCTGGGATTAAAGGCATGAGCCTCCACTGCCCAGCTACTTTCATATTTTTTTAAGTCTAGATTCTACATTTGAGAAAAAAATATGTCATCCTGAGTCTGTTTCATTTCAGTTAAGATAGTAACTTCCAGTTCCAGCCATGTCTCCCTCTAGTCATGCTATCCATCCTTCTTTACAGTTGAATAATACTCCATTGTGTAAATATACCACATCTTTTTTTCATTCATCTGCTGATGGCACCCAGGCTGATTCTATAATTTGTCCCTTTTGAAGAGCAGCATAAGTAACACAGATATGCAGGTATCCCTACTGTGTGTGGCTTTGCTTTATTTAGGTATATACCCAGGAATCAGATAGCAGGTTAATATGATAACTCTATTTTTTGTTTTTTGAGAGACCTCCATCTTTATTTCCATAGAGGTTAAAATAAGGTACATTTCTACCAGGAATTTAGAAGGGTTCCTTTTTCTCTACATCCTCACTAGCATTTGCTAGGAATTTCTCTTTTGTTTTGTTTTAGTTCTGGGTTTGTTTGTTTTCATGAACTTATTTAATCACTTTACAGACTGATCACAGCCCCCTTGCCCCTCTCCTTCCAGTCCTACCATGATAACCCCCTTCCTGACTCCCTCAGAGAAGGGGACCCCCCCCCATGAACACCAACCCACCCTGGCACATCAAGTCACAGCAAGACTAAGTGAATCCTCTCCCAGACTAAGCAGCCCAGCTAGAAGAAAGGGATACAAAGGCAGGCAACAGAGTCAGAGACAGTCACTCCAATTGTTAGGGAACCCACATGATGACCAAGCTGCATATCTGCTACATATGTATAGTGGGCCTACGTCCAGCCCATGTATGCACTTTGGTTGGTGTTTCAATCTCTGGGAGCCCCCAATGGGCCCAGCTTAATTTACTCTATAGGTCTTCTTGTGGTGTCCTTGACCCCCCCCCCCAGCTCCCTTTATTCTTCCTCCCACTCTTCTACAAGACTCTCTGAACTCTGCCTCTTGTTTGGCTGTGGGTCTCTCCATCTGCTTCCATCAGGTGCTGGATGAAGCCTCTCAGAAGACAGTTATGCTAGGCGCCTGTCTGCAAGCATATCATCAGAGTGTCATTAATAGTAATAGGGGTTGGTTCTCTCCCATAAGATGGGTCTCAAGTTGGGCTAGTCATTGGTTGGCCATTCCCTCAATCTTTGCTCCATCTTTATCCCTACACTTCTTGTAGGCAGGACAAATTTTGGGTTGAAGGTTTTATGGGTGGGTTGGTGTTCCCCTTCATTCACTGGAAGTCCCACCTGGCTACAGGAGGTGGCGACTTAAGGCTCCATATTCCCCTGTTGCTAGGAGTCTCAGCTAGGATCACCCCATAGACCTCCGAGAGCCTCCCCAACTCAGATATTTCCTTTCTTCCTCCCAGTCCCCCCTCCCCACACATGATCTCCATTTCCACTCCTCTCCCCCATCCAGTTCCTTCTGTCCATCTACTTCAGATGTCTATTTCATTTTTCCTTCTGGGTGAGATTTGAGCGTTCTGAGTGAGATTGTTTTTGTTTTGAGACACGGTCTCTCTGTGTAGCCTTGTTTGTCCTGGACTTGCTTTGTAAACCAGGCTGTCCAGATCCACCTGCCTCTGCCTCCCAGAGTGCTGGGATCGTAGGCATGTGCCACCACAGCCAACCAACTTCTTTTTTATTTTTTTTAATGAGTTTTATTTGTGTCTTAGAATTCAGGAGCTGGAAAGTCTAAGTGAGGGCCTGTGCTGCTTCAACTCCTGGTTGAAAGAAGAAAAACAACCAGGCACCTAGAAAAACCACAGTCAAAGGGCTTGCTTGCAAATAGCATTTCCCAGCACCCAGGTCTGTAACTAGAGCTCTAGGGGATACACACACACACACACACATACACACACAGAGACAGACTTCAAAGTAGTAAATTTTTACGTGCTCTCTAATGTGGGCTCCACTTTAATTATCCAAACTTCTACACAAAGCCCCACCTCCAGCACTGATGCACAGAGACCAAGTCTCAACAGGAATCTTGGTGACTACACACCTTAAACAATTAGGAGTTGTGACTCAGTCACCATCCTGGAAGCTCCACCCATTAGAGAGAGCAGCCATCCTCTGGAACACACTTGTGGCGCAGGAGAAGTCGGGAGTTTTCCCCGAAGAGGCTGTGTTTGCGCCTGCTGAAATAAGACTAAATCAACAGATTAACAGGAGCAAAGGCTACTCGCCATTATTTACACCCATGGGCATCTGGACTACAGAAGGCAGAAGGAGAAGTCTGAATGCTTTCCTCAGAGGGGAAGTAGAAGTAAGGCTTTCAGGGCATTGAAGGGTAGTGGATTACTTGAGGGAAAGGGTGGACCCGAAGTCAGATGTGAATGTGGCTGAGGCAGGAGGATTATGCTGCCCAGGCCACCGGAGGGTATATAACAGAACCCTGACTCAAAAGAGTAAAACAGAAAACAAACAAACAAAAATATTGAAGGTAATTTTGTCCCTCTTCAGTGAACCCAAAATCAGGAGACAGAAAATGGCCCATGAGGTTCTTTTCTACTTTAGGAAAGAAAGGGATCAAGAGAACCTGCCCGTGACAGTGGGGAGGGATCAGAGAGACCTGAGGCTGCTGCTTCCATCTAGCCCATTGATGTCATTAAATTAAATGCAGGAAACTCATTAAACTAGAATAGTTATTAAAAGCTGAGGAGCTGGACATTAGGACAGGGACTTCTGCAGCAAACCTATCATATAGCTTTGAACTCCTGATCTTTCTCTTTTACCTTCACAAGTGCTGTCAAAAAGAACTGTTAAAATTTTATATAGTGTTTTTGTGCTCATTATTAAGACATGAAGCAACAAAGATCTGTCAGGGTAATTTCAAAGTGATAAAGAACTTAAACCATGTTTCAAGACTCCTGTAGCGACCATAACATGGTAACACATGAGCTTCTCTATTAGTAGCTGGGTCATGGGTGCCACTGCAAACACCGTCATTTGTTTCTTACGTAACGCTAGGAAGGAGTGCTACATTTCAGCTTAGATGTAGATGAGAATAAGTATGTATTTGTTTCTACCCCCAAATCACAGATTTCGCATACATAGAACTTCAAGACAAAGCCTTATGCTATGACAAAACTCTAAAAGGGTACACAGGTGTAAGTGGACAGTGGGATGAGGGAAGGGCAAAAAGCAAATACAATAATTCAGATTTTTTATTTTGAAATCCTATGTTTTTGAGTTTTTGGAAAAACACCATATTTATGTATTACACATTCATGGACATGGACAACCCAGATTTCAGATCGAAAGGTGCTGCTGCCTGGCGAGGAAATCCACCAAAAGCCAGAGCCTCTCAGCGCTCTCCCACCCTGCCCCAAACACCAGGTGGAAATACCACTTCCTATCACCTCCTCTCCTTTACCACTGTGACCGTGAAGTTATGAACCCTCAGCACCTGGCCACTGGGTTTCAAGTTCAGATAGAACTGGTTCCCAGTTGAGGGTATATCTCTAGCATCCTCAGTGAACAAAAAAACTAATAACTCAATAGTGAGCCATTCAGTTGCCCTTTAAAGTGTTTTTTAAATGAAACAGCACTCTCCTGATTCCAAATAGGTAATGATCTTTTACAGAATATGGGCACCAGTGTCACAGACTGATGCTTCACATTTATTAAGCATCTGCAGTATTCATCAGCATCCTGGATGATAACTGACTTTCAAATTTGGAGGTTTAGAAGACTGCATTAAGGATCTGGAGAGATGGCTCAGCAGTTAGGAGCTCTGACCTCTTCCAGAGGTCTGGGATTTAGTTTCCAGCACCCACATGGTAGCTTACAACCATCTGTAACTCCAGTTCAAGGGGATCCAGCACCCTCTTCTGGCCTCTATAAGAACTGCATCTGATACACAGACAAACAAAAGCAAAATACCAAATACATAAAACAAAAAAATAAATTCAAAAAAGGTAAGCGGTCCGTTCATATTATGTGTAGAAATTGCAGTCTTTGCCTCTTCATTGGTGACTCTTTGATTTTATTAGGAATAATGATGGCTGCCATACCAGAAGAAGGCTCTTGCATCAACTTCAAGGAAATAATGTTTATTGACAACACACTTTACTTTATACGTAAGTCTAAACCAGCTTTAAAAAATGCAGGGCTCAGATACGCATATTCAACTAGAAATCATGAAGTGAGCTTAGGCTCCTGTTTGTCATCAAATTCTACTATAATGTTAATGACTCCCCTTTCTAAAAATAACTGTAAGATCACCAAGGCCCCAGTGCCCTTCCCCACCTCAGGGGGTGGCACTCTGGCAGTAGTTCAGCAAGATGGTACCTGGTACCCATCATGAAAATGTGCCATTGAGAAAACATGCTTCCCAAAAGAAATGCAAGTCATGATATTCTAGGCCTAGAGTTCTGTGAATAGTCACACCATTCAGGTGAATATACTTGATGAGAGAGAAAACGAGAGATTCTTCTGATTAAGTTTCATGGGCGATTTGACTTCACTGAAAGTTCAGCTTTCTTTGGAGGCTTCTTGAAAAGTCCTTAGATGTTTTCACATCTAAACAATAAATTTAAAAGAAATGTTTGCCAGTTTATTAAAAAATATTTTAGCTATGAACTGAAATTTACCAATCCTGGATTTAACGCTTTTAATTATCATTGTTTTATGTATATGGGTGTTTCTCCTACATGTGTGTCTGTGCACCATATGCATGTAATGCCCACAGAGGCCAGAAGGGGACGCTAGAGCCCCTAACACTGGAGTCACAGATGATGGGAGCCACCAGATTCATGCTGAGCATCAAACATGGGTCCTCTGGAACAGCAAACAGTGCCCTTCACCACTGAGCCATCTCTTCAGCTCTGGGTTTAAGTTTTATGCCTAACATGTTTAGCTATGTTAGCACACATGAACCCTAATAAGCTTAATGCCTGGGCTCCTGAATGCTTGTCACGTGATATTCCTAATGGAGGCCCACAGAACCCATCACCATTATACAGAGGTTAAGGAGTGAGGAGTGGGGCCAGGCATGGTGGCACATGCCTTCAATCCCAGCACTTTAGGAGGCAGAGACAGGTGGATCTCTGTGAGTTTGAGGCCAGTCTAGTGTATAAAGTGAGTTTCAGGACAGCCAGAGCTATATAGTAAGACTTGGTCTCGAGAGAGTTGGGGGAAGGGAGTGGAAGGAAGAACAGAGTTGCAAAAGGGCAGAGGAGGGGGCATGTTGAGCTGAAGTATACAATCTAACATGTCCTGTTTCTCTTTTCCTCCCTTTAGCTGAAGATAATGGTAAAGTATAAATTTATCTTTTATTTTTCTTCAAATTAGATGGTACTTGAGACACATCATTGTCATCTGGGAGATTCTAACCATAGGGCTGTTTCCCTGGCAGTTACTAATTACAATTAGATTAAAATCATTTGGTGAAATCATGATAAAAGCTTAATTCCTCAGCTGGTAGACTTAGAAGTTGTGTCTATCTTACTACTCTTGTTTACAGCACCCTGACAGGATTCTTGGAGATCTCTGTTGTTTGTCTGGTTTGACACTGGTTCTTACTATACAGCCTAGACTGACGCAGAACTCACTATATAACCTGGACTGGCCTCAAACTTGTGATCCTCCTGCCTTAGCATCCCAAGTGCTAGGATCACAAGTGTGTGGCAGCATACCCAGAAGCATTCTTATACAATAGTGTTAGCAGAATGTGTTAGAGTGTTCAAGATAAAATCTAGGAAGTGGAAATGCCAGGTTGACAGAAGAAAAGGAACAGTTGGCAAATCAAAGCTTCAATCCATTACACACAGAGCACAGTTTGGCTCTGTCTTAGACACTGGGACAATTTTTCTGTATTTTTCTTTGGTAGAGAAAAATAACTGGTCTCACCATTGAGTTTATAAGTGTATTAGCAAGAGATAATTCCCTAGCCAAGCATGGGAGGCAGAGGCAGGCAGATCTCTGAGTTTGAGGCCAGCTTAGTCTAAAGTACAAGTTCCAGGACAGCCAAGACTATGAAAAGAAACCTGTCTCAATAAAAGAGGGGGGGGGGAATGGAGAGAGGAGGAGAGGAGAGGAAAGGAAAGACAGAGAGAGAGAGAGAGAGAGAGAGAGAGGAGAGGGAAGGTAGATATGAGATGATGGGATAAAGATCCTGAAAGGAACAAGACTTGAAACTACAGTTGTGGCCTATGAGAAACAGGCCCAACTGGAAAGCAAAACGCTGACCAGCACTGAGCCTGCGGTGCACAGTTCTCACGTCTGCATAAATGGGTTAAGGATCTAAGTACTAACAAGATGCTATAATGAAGTACATGGTGCAGCTAAGAAGGGAAGGGTAGGAAGGAGATTGGATAGGGAAGAGTTTCCAGAGGCAGGACATGGGAGGGCATCGTGAGGTCTCAGACATAGACAGCATGAACAAAAGTGTGAGAAAACAAAAAGGGCAGGACACTGATCAGAAGGTAACATATACGAATCATTGGAGGAAAAGTAGCTCTGAGCACAAACAGTAAACTTGGTGTGCTCTTAGAAGCAGATGAAATATACTCAGCTCGCTGCTCACTGCTGCTTCCAGAACCGGAGGGTTGGACTGACTCACTTGTTGATCTGAAAAAACAGCTTACCGCTGATGATTCAATGTGTGTTATAGGAGACCTGGAATCAGACAGCTTTGGCAGACTTAGCTCTACAGCCACGGTGATACAAAACATAAATGAGCAAGTTCTCTTCGTTGACAGAGGAAAACAGCCAGTGTTTGAGGACATGACTGATGCGGAACAAGAGGGTACATTTTTCCTACTTTTTTTACAAACACGGAGATGGCCACCCACTTCTTCCCTCTCCATTTTACTGCTTACATTTTCAAATGTCAGACCCTTTCCTCAGACGGGAATTCACAGCAGCAAATATAATTTCACCTTAGAGGGCATATTTTTAGATGGAGTGAGGAGTTGGATCCAAATCCAATAAAAGACACTGATAGAGGCCATGGCGCTCTGAGCCTGCATGCGTACTATCAGCTTCCTTATTTCAATGGTACCCTCTGTAGAAGAGCCATGTCATGTTGGGTCCTTCCTCCCCACTGTTAGAGCTCAACATACTGCTGACATCATCAACACTCAAAATGAAAAGTAAAACAGAAGCATTTCAAATGAACCCATCTTCCACCAGAACACGAGAGAGCATCTCTGATGAGCAAGCTCACTGTTGCCTCTCGAGATTAAAGTTCCAAATAGCACAGTTTGGGGCCTGGCTGAATGCATATTCTTGAAAAAAGAATCCTATCCTAAGATTTTTACCTCAACAAACGTTTTTAATATTCTGTTGAACATTCAACGGTTAAACATGGTCTCTAGATTCAGAATAATGTTGTTTGGGGTTAGTTTGGGTTTTTGTTTCGAGACAGTGTCTCACTGTGCAGCCCTTGCAGGCTTGGAACTCACTGTGTAGACCAGACTGGCCCCAAATCACCTGCCTCTACCTCCCGAGATATGCACATCCATGCCCGGCGAGGTTCGTGTCATTTTTAACATGCTCAAAAAATATACCTATCAGAATATCTTTAACACACTCGGAACACTTTTTAATGTGCATTGGTGTTTTGCCTGCATGCATGCCTGTGTGAGGGGGTCATATCTTGGAGTTATAGATGCTTATGAACCCCCATGTGGGTGCTGAGAATTGAACTCAGGTCTTCTGGAAGAGCAGTCAGTGCTCTTAACCACTGAGCCATCTCCTCAGCCCCACTCAGAATATTTTTTTAACACACTCATGTTGCCCACCTGTGTTTTATTAACACGCCTTAAGTGTGTTTCAAGGGGTGTCTGGCTAGGTCGGCATCATGTCTGTCAACTGTCTGGCCAACCTGAGGGCAGGGTAGTGACTAATATACTAAAGGGGATCTGATCTGGAGAAAAATACTCTAATTAATGATCTCATTATTAATATTAATTTCAGCTAATGGACCCCAGACCAGACTAATAATATATATGTATAAGGATACTGAAGCAAGGGGGCTGGCTGTGACCCTCTCTGTGAAGGATACAACAATGGCTACCCTGTCCTGTAAGAACAAAATCATTTCCTTTGAGGTAAGATTCAGCTTCATTTTGGTTCTAGTCATATTAATGGACAAATTTACAAAAGCCAGATATCCTCATACCAACATTTTATCTGGAGCCCAGAGAGCGGAGACAAGCACTGAAATGGACGGTTTGTGGGGATTGTCAAGCCCTTTGGCCTAGTGTGATGATACTCATTTGTCTAATTTTGTCTCTGAGCCTGTCGGAGAGGAAGGGGCAGCTGAATGATTTCTTTCAGACAGGGTTTCCTCTATTCTAGACTGACCTCAAACTCAGTTGAGGGTGACCTTGAACTTTAAACCATCCCCACTCCCAGGTGCTAGGATTATAGGTGTCTGTCACTGTGCCCAGTCTCACAGTCTGGGTCTCCCACTAATACAGATCTCAGCCACTGTGGAGACCGGATTTGGATAAGACCCAACTTCATCTCCCTGCCATATCGCTAGGGCTTTGTAGCTAAGAACTACCTCTCAGTTAGACTTTCAGCTTCAACTTGATCCTAGATCATCTCCTTAAAGTCTCTCCCTAAGCTGTGTTTACTAGGCACAGCTTCGGAAGCAGATGCTAATGAGAGAGTAATTCACATCACTGTCAACTCATGGCTGTACTTGTGGCTGAAAGACAGTGGCTGTCAGCTCTGTAACTGGTTCGGTGGAAAGCCCCTCAGAGTCTTCTGTGCGTCTTAGGAGGGTAGGATGCTTTTTTCACTTTTAATTTTGATGAGGCCCTTTCCTACCATTGGGTCAAAACTAACTCCAAAACATCAGCTCTCTCATGGCCTTGGAAGAATCTTAGGCAGCACCTATATTTCCTAACCCACCCTGAAAGGTAGACAGAATTGGAGAACAGGAAAAGCCAGGCACTCCTAGCAGATCCATGCTCAGTGGGAGGAACTGCAGCTTCCAGACACCTAATCCTGATAGCACCCTGGCATCTCCACAAGATACAGGAATGAGTACTTGGCCTTTCTGGGCACGACCCAGCCAAAGAGTAAACTCAGGACAGAAAGGCGAGACTACTGAGCAGCGTCACACTTGGCTGCAAGGCAGCATTCAGAGGCCACGGGCTGAGTCAGTACAGCCGGGCTAGCTATCAGGAAACACAGGTCTCAGCAGAGAAGTGTTGGGTCTAATCACACTACAGCTTAGTTTCAGGATCCACGGAAGGAGGAAGCTGAGATTCTCGACCCCTCCTGCATCTCACATGGCTGATTCAGAAACTAGGGCTACTGAGCGCAAGGGAGGAGGTCGTCTGTGTGTTTAGCTATGGATGACTGACAAGACGAGAACTGAAATTAGTCCAGCGAAATGGCTGGGTTTGCTAGAACTTTACTTCATCAATAGTAGGACACAGACTCCACATGGTGGTGGAAGAGAACAGAAGGAAGCTCTCGGGGCATAAGGGAACCAGGAGGCCTCCATAGTGAGGAGCATCTCATGGCAGAAAACATCAGAATGGATAGGAAAACAAGTTAGGGATTAAAGGGAGGCAGTCAGTCATACAAAGGGTTTTGTTGTTTTTTTTTTTCCTTAACTTTTGAAAAAAGTAAAACTACCTTAGGTCTGCTTAGTAATATACTTCTAAATAAACTGCACATATTCAAATTGGTAATATCCTTTTTAAAAAATATATTTCATTTCCTGTGCATGGTTCTGTGTGTATGTGTGTTTCTTTGGAGGCCAGGAGGGGGAGTCGGATCCCCTGGTGCTGGAGTTGAGGCATTATGAGCTGCCACTAGGAGCTAAGTTCTAGATCTCTGAGAGACCAGAGCAGCTAGCACACTAACCACTGAGCCAGGTTCCAATTGTTTATATTCCTAAGAATTGTGTTTTGTGTGTTTTCTCCACAGGAAATAAATCCACCTGAAAATATTGATGATACAGAAAGTGATCTCATATTCTTTCAAAAACGTGTTCCAGGACACAATAAGATGCAATTTGAATCTTCACTGTACAAAGGGCACTTTCTAGCTTGCCAAAAGGAGAAAGATGCTTTCAAACTCATCTTGAAAAAAAAGGATGAAAATGGGGATAAATCTGTAATGTTCACTGTTACACCCTTACATCAATGTTAGGCATTAAGGTTTTTGTGTTCCAGAAAGATGATTAGAAGGCATGAGCCTTAGTGGGGGTGCATAATTTATAAAGCAAGCAAGTTTATTTGTCTCGTGTGTTTAGCCCAATTTTTTACTCCCTGGAGAACGGCCCTGAATGTATCACAACATAGAAAACAAAAGGAAAGAAACTGGCCACATGTGAATTTCACGTGGATGAGCCTCACCTTGTAGCAGCTCATTCTTGAGAGAGACAATAGATCTTTTGGGTGCCAGGGCGTCTCATGGCCTAACCCTCTCCCATCTCTTAAACATCTCACCACCTCAACACAGTTGTCCTGTGGACCAAGTTTTCAACACATGAACCAAAACAAACCTACATTTGTGGCATTGAAACAAATAGCAATAATAGCCTCAACATGTTATTGAAGTCTGATAATAATTACATTATAATTTTTAAGATAGCACTTGAGGGGTGGAGAGATAGCTCAGTGATGAAGAGCACTTGCTATTCTCCCAGAGGACTCAAGTTAAAAACTACTACTATTGTGCATATGATGGTGGCAGGCACATATCACAGTGAGTGTGTGGAGACAGTTCTACGCTTCCATCTTTGTGTGGGTTTTAGGTTCCAGGTTCCAGGTTCCAGGAATCAAATTCAGATTATAGGCTTGCATGGCAAGCCCCTTTACCTGTTGAATGTGGCCATCTCTCTGACCACATTATGCTATTTTAGCCATTTTAATTTTGTTTCACTGTGAAAAATTGAAGCATGACTACATTATTAGGCTGTAACTGCATTGGTGGAGTGCCGGAAATATGCACACACTGCCGCGCTGAATGCCCAGCACTTCATAAAATGAACCATTTTATGCTCCTGTAATCCCAGGAGTAAAAGCAAGAGGACTGGAAATTCAAGGTCATCCTTGACTATTGTAGCAAGTTTGAGGCAAGTCTGGCTAAAAAATAATAATAAATTAAAAGTTAAACAATATTCTCTGTGAGTTCAAGGCCAGTCTGGTCTACACAGAGAGAGTTCCAGGACAGTCAGGGCTACAAAATTAAATTAAAATTAATTTAAATTTAAAATATATATCAGGGGAAAAAAATCTTAAGTCTTCTAAAAATTCACACAATAAAAACAAAGTATAGGCCAGGTGTGGTGGCAAACACCTGTAATCCCAGGGAGGCAGAGGCGGGCAGATCTCTGTGAGTTCAAGGTCATCCTGATCTACAGAGCAAGTCCAGGACAGCCAGGGCTATACAGAGAAACCCTGTCTCAAAAAAACAAAACTAAAAATAAAAAAAGGACAGGAGAGAAGGCCCACTGCTGGGGGACTTTTCACTGCAAACATGTCATGTAAAGTCTCGAAAACAAAGATTTTAAGAGATGCATGTGGAGGGCCTCTTTCTTCACAGCTTGTAAACACGCGACTCTTTGAAAGGTGTTCTGTGTAGGCCAGAGAGCTAAATGACACAGCAGATTAGTAACTCATGCACTGGGGGCGGAAGGAACAACACATTTTCTACATTTCAATTTCTTCTCCATATTCTCAGCATTCTGAAAGTAGTAGGAACTAGATTTTAGATTTTTCAGGGTGCCCCTCTTTGTCTAGAGTCATATCTGAGTTCCATGGGGTAATACCAAGGAATCAGGGATGGGATGGGTAGGGAGCTCAGCCCTCTGTTGTTACCACCACTCAGTGACATCTGCTGAGCCCTCTACAACTCTCTTTTGGTCTCTGGCTGGTTACTTAGGAGACTCTCACTCCTGTCCCTACAGTCCTTTCAGTTTGGCTGTCTCTACCTGCACGGCTGACATTCTTGATCACGGCTCCAGTATCCATTTTGCCTCCCTCCTTATTTGTGCAGGTTGCTGAGGCCATTAGCGGTGATTGAGAGAGGCACCCTGGTCCCTCCCAGCTTCGCTGGCAGAGTCCCAGTCTCTCATCCCTAGAACTCAACAGGAAAGCTTTCATTGGATCCTTTCCCACCTCTGCCCCAGACTTGCTTTTTCAGGAGGCGGCCGAGTCTGTGAAACCTGTAACTCCCCATCACCGGTTGCAAATTACACATCATTTAGGTCCTTTAATGTTCTATGGCTGGACTGTTGAGACAGTATGAAGCGAAATGGGACAGGAGAGGTGAGGGATGATCAGAGGTTTACATTCATCCTTCACCACTCAACAAGTACAGATCTAACCTGGGATAGGTGAGACCTTTTTCTGAAGAGAAAAGAAAAACCAGGGAGCTGGCAACATGACAGTTTGCTATAGGACCTGGTGACCTGAGTTTGATCCCCAGAACCCAGGTGTGGGAGGCAAAGAACCAACTCCTGTAGGCATTCCCCCACCCCGACAGGGTTTCTCTGTGTAGCCTTGGCTGTCCTGGACTTGCTTTGTAGACCATCCTGGCCTCGAACTCACAGAGATCTGCCTGCCTCTGCCTCCCCGAGTGCTGGGATTACAGGTGTGTGCCACTGCGCCCTGCTTAGGCATCTTTATTTTAACTATTTCAATGGGGTTCTTATACCTCTACCTCCCTTCCAACCCTTGTCCACCCTAATACCTTCCAACCCCCCAATGCTAGGTAGGAGAAAAAGGTTAGTGGGGTAAAGAAATGTAGGTCTCCTAGTTACTTCCTGCTGGTTAGGGGTGTCAGGCTCCACTCTTCGTTTCAGGGTATCTCCAACTTCTCATCAAATGGCAACAACAGCAACCAGGAGCAGCAGGGAGGAAGCAGCGCCGCCTTCTTTCTCAGAGCAGACCCCACCCCCTTTCTCTCCTAGTTTTGACATTTATTTCCTCTCAGAGTCCTCAGAATTAAACTATCTGTAGCTAGCAAAGGTCATGCTCCTCTCCCAGCCCAAGAGAAGCAAATAGTCTGCTGCTGTGGACAGTCTAAAGCAGTCCCATATCCCACCCCCGGGATTAAAACAAAAACTTGTGTGCATAACATAACTGAGTTTTTAAAGACTCCAAAACCTCCACCACAAACTCCTGCAAGTCATGCTCTGACCTCCACTTACTTGTTATGCCTTGTAAATGAGCATGTGTGCAAACACACCCACACAATCAATCAACATAACATAAAACTCTGCAACCCTGCAAAGCTCTGAAGTCTTGAGGACCCTAGTCAATAGCCTAGACCGTCTGTGCTGAGGGGCAGAGGGCAGTATCTGTCACTTAGGCTTTGCCTTGTCGTTTATCAGTGGCTGGTAGCCTCAGAATCTTGTGTGGTTAAAGATTTACTATGGAAAACAGACTATGAATACCTTCTGACCCAAGAGTGGTGAGGTCACCGGGGCAGGCTGAATGTGCTGTGCGAAGCCGACACGCTGGCCCTGCCTGGTCGGCATGCCTCTTCCACCTTGATAACACTACACACCCCAAGACTTCCAGTAAGTAACTGCAAAGGCGCCACCCTTCTCTCTTGGTACCTTGACACAGAAAGGTGAACCTAGGTAAGGGATTAAGCATGCCCATATTAAATGCCTTGTTATATGCCAGGCAACGTGTCATTTACTGCACAGATGGCCACAAACCAAGTCCCCAAGTCGGTCTCCAAGGGCAGTCTAATCTCAGGGAGGTGTGCACAAGTTGCTTAAGGAAGCAAAAACAGCCTGAAGGTTAAGTGTAAGACACAGTGGAGTTTCCGCACTCTTCTAAGTAGTCACTAAGCCTTTTAGTAGTAGTAGTATGTTTGTATGTGTGTGTATGTGTGTTCATACACATGTGATTAGGATTGCATGCTCACCATGACTCGTATATGTGGAGGTCAGAGGACAGCTTTGAAGAGTAAGTTTTCTCTCTTTCCACCATGTAGATCCTGGAGGTGAACTCAGGTCATCAGGCTTGGCAGCAAGCACTTCTAGCTGCTGAGCCATCTCGTTTACCAAATTTTGAACCTCTGATCCTCCTACCTCAGTCTTCCCAAATTCTAGCATGACAGCCAAGTGCCCACCATGCCCAGCTCAATTATGTATTCATTTTATGTCTGCATGAAGGTCATAATTTTATATTATTTAGGAAGCCACCATTTAACTGCATGAAAGAAAGGGGTGATTTAAGAAAGTGGGATAAAGTGAGGGCATGAAAAAGACGAAGTTCTCTGGTAAAAACAAGGGAATGAATCACAAGTCAGGGCCCCTGAAAGACTCAAACATATCAATTGTTCTTTTTTTTTCACAGCTGTTGTTCTTTTGGCTTATAGCCTGCATGTGTGTTGGGGAAATACAATTAAAAACAAAATCTTGGGGCTGGAGAGATGGCTCAGCAGTTAAGAACCCTGGCTGCTCTTCCACAGGACCTGGGGTCAATACCCAGCACCCACATGGCAGCTCCAGTTCCAGGGGATCTGACATCCTATTCTAGTCTCCCTGGACCCTGCATACATGTGGTGCACAGATATACAGCCAAAACACCCATACACATAAAATAAAAATAAAGGAAAAAAGTTAAAGGCAAAAAAACTTTGGTCATGAGCGAGGCCTCAGCAGGTAAAAGCACTTGCTACCAGGCCTAACAGGCTGAGCCCCATCCCCAGGAACCACATTATGGAAGGAGAGAACGGAGTCCCGCAAGTTGTCCTCTGACTACCACACAAATATGGGCCCTCCAGTCACTCAAATAGAAATAAATGAAAAACATATTCAGTGTTGGGATTCACACAAACAGCCAAGATGCCTATTTAACCAAAGCAGACCTGGCCTCCAGGTTCTCCCAGCATCTCAGTCCCTACCTATTGCAGGGCACGGCTGGTATACTCCATCCTCTAAACTTCATCCCAGGGCCTGGGCTTCCTCTCCCCTAGAGGCTCTTCTTCACTATATTATATAGGCATTTTGGCTCCCCTGACTCTCTCTCTCTCTTTCTCCCTCTTTTTGTTTCTCTGCCCCTACTTTTCTGTTTCCCCTCCTGTGAGATCAGTGAACCCACCTAAGAGGTGCCCCCATTAAACCTGCATATATGTTTTTTGAGACAGGGTTTCTCTGTGTAGCCTTGGCTGTCTTGGACTCACTTTGTAGACTTAGGCTGGCCTCAAACTCACAAAGAGCCACCTGCCTCTGCCTCCCAGAGTGCTGGGATTACAGGTGTGTACCACTGT